ATCTGAGTTATCCCAGCAGTCTTTCTCCTTACCGATCCTCTTGAAGTCCTCGTAGACGTCATCCGTCTTTATTTCATACATCAAGCTGTCAGTATCTGTGAACAGTAGCTTTGACCTGTCACCGTACTCCTTCTTAATTGTGTTATAGTGGAAATCATACATTAGAGTCTTTGATAAGTCTAAGATGCTCATTCCAACGTAGCACGGTTTATTAAGAGTTAGAACTTCCTTCATCCGTTTTACAACTATTAAGTTCTCATTCATAATTCTATGTGACTGGAAGCACGGTGATGCCGTAAGTTTTAGGAGGTCGTCTTTCGATGACACTAATTTTACATCAACTCTTTTCCTAAGATTTTCCATTGTCTTTCCGTAGATTGAGTTATTCATTAACTTGAAGAAGTTCTTTTCAAACACATTACGTGCTACTGACCGTTTCTTTGTATTGAAGTCAATATAGTTCTTAAGCCAAGGGGACTGTTTGAATGAGACCGCTCTGTGAATCTTTGTGAGTTTCATTCCAAGGTCTGTGTAGAGTTTTAGATTACGTGCATGTAAGACGTAGTTCTTCCTTGGTCCAAGAGAGTTCACCAGTTTTCTTACTCCTCCAATTGTCAGCTGAAATTTATCAGCAATACTTTTTGCGTAATCTGACAACATTGAAGCACTAATCTCTTTGCTCTCTGGGGCTAGCGGATAACCGTTATGTAGATTGTGAAGTTCTTGTGGATATTCCATGTCAACCTCTAGAACCATACCCCTTCCGTTGTCTCCAAGGTAGTCATCAAGGTTTATACCATCAAATTCCTCGACCCACTCAAACTCTCCATTAGGTAGTGGTTGTGACATTGCCCAGCCATATAAATTGTTGGCGTCGAGGTACATAAGGTACTTGTTTTCAAGCTCTTCATTATACGTTTCCATATACTTATTATTAGCTGTAGCTTGTCTGTGAGCAATGTGACTTATCCCACCTCTCATTCCCTTCTCAAAGAACTGGAACATATCCATATCACTTACAAGTTCTATTTCCTCACCTGACTGTTTTAGGAATGCATCCCAACTTAGACTGGGTGCTGATATGTAATGTGCAGGGTCAAGTTTATAATTTTCCAAGCAGGTTCTCCTGAAGTTTTCAAAAACATCCGCTAGTAGAAGAACGTCAGTTTCTAGGTAGAGATCGTGGTAGTCTCTCATAGTTTTCATTCCGAAGTGATCCCATACTTTCTGAGCTCTTTGGTAATCTTCTTCCTTCACCTCTGACTCGTACAGTGTTGAGTAGAATTTATCTTTACTTGGAAGACCCTCAACATTAAGTTTACTAATGTTATCCAGGAATTCATATGGAAAGACTCCTTTTTGTGTCACTAAGTTGAAGTCCTCACCCTTCCACCTCTTACCTACTATCTTGAAGTCCTCAGGTGAAAGGTTACTCACGAGTGCTTCCAGTGAAGAAGCCATAAACTGTATAGAGTCTATGAAGACAAGATTTTTACCTAGTGAGAATGAAATGTATTTTTCCATGTTATTTGGAACTACGTTAATGTTCATCTTAAATTTACCAATCTCTTGCATAATTAGATGGCTATCATAACCTCTTAGATTGTGGAAGACCACAGGAACTTTCCATGTAATTCTATATTTTAGGTTGCACATATTATGAGCAGCTCCACGAAACATTCCTGTTACATGATCGTGGTCTCTCACTCTATCATCTCCAAGATCATTACCACATATTGAGCAGTTTCTAGTCATCCAGAACTCAGCTTCCTGTTCGGGTGTAATTACCATCTTTTTCTTGAATATCTTATTAACCATTTCTCTGCACTTAATGGACTCCTTCAGTACAGTCTTTAGGAAGACCTGTGTGGCGTCTTCACCAACGTAGCTTATATATTCACCAGAGTACTTATCATCATAATGGCAGACTGTTTTTAACCCAAAACTACAAGCTTTATGTGTCTGGTAAAGGTCTGTACTACTTTTGTCCTCAGAGTTTTCAGAATCAACTTTTTTCTCTTCTGGAACTAGTATAGACTCAAAATCAGCGTATATCACGAATGGTGCAGGCATTGAGTTTCTGTGGTTTTTGAACTTTATTTTTGTACCCTCCTTGGGAAGCTTTGTGGCTTGAGTCCCGTTTACCTCGATACATGTCTCCCTATGTTTTTCTAGTAGCTCTTCACTCTTACAACTATGAAGACAGTGTAGGCAAAAGTGCTTTTTATGTTCGTATCCACTTACACTATACAGCATTCTATTAATGTCTTTTATTAGGACATAGTGGTTGTTTCCATTACCATCACCTAAAAGCAGCAACTCCATATGCTCGTCATATTTTGTCTTGGAGTTTCTTATAGGATAAAACTGCTTTTTACCCTTATAACCAAACACTGATATACTCATACTGTTTTTCCTCTCGATTTTATCAATATCACTTATCTTCACAGGGAAGTCTATTCCTTCATAATCTAGGTTTTCTGCGAACTCCATATCCTGTCGTGTAATGGTGGTTGCTCTTCTAGCTTTGGGTCTTACATGTCTCACATGACTCCACATAAAACATTTGTTGTCATTGTTTTTCATGTTGATGAGACCACATTTTGGATTAATGATGTCTGCAGGTAATTTCATATATGAACTACCCTTTAGAGGTTTGTACATTGCAATGTTGACATAATGGCTTTCAATATTTAGAATAATCCAATTTGAACCTAAGTTCTGGAAGGTTTCAATTCTAGCTAGGATGGTCAATTGATTTTGAGCAGCTGTACTTTCGATATCCTCGAAGTTAGTCGCGGTTCCAGTTTTAGACTTAAAGTATATTGAATCCTTCTTTGTCTTATTGTTACCGATCTCCTTTGACATTCTCACCTTAATTGTCTCAGTATATTTCAACCCTCCCATTCTCTTCAACTCATTAACTAGAATTCCTCTTACTACCTGCCTACTTGCTGTCATCTGGTCTAATGGATCCATAAAATGTGGAGTAATTGAATAAGTTACAGCAGCTCCATTTGCGGCTGTTTCAATTTTTCTGTGAGATGGCTTTTCGAGGTAGGTTCCAAATGGATCTATTTCGTGTTCCTCTGGTGTGACCACTGCAGGCTGTTCCTTAACTTCCTTTGATAGTTTTACAGGCTTTCGTAACTTTGGAGGAGGCGCTGGTTTCCTGGTTCTAGGTTTAGGAACTGGTCTTTCCCTAGGAAATATAGTTCTAGGTTTAGGAATTGGCCTTTCCCTAGGAAGTACGGTTCTAGGTTTAGGAATTGGTCTTTCCCTAGGTTTAGGTGTAGGTTTCCAGGGAACTACACCCTCTGGTACTTCAGGAGCTTTCCTTGTAGGTTTCTTGTTGAGGTCCACGTGAATTGTAAACTTACCCGGACCTGTTGGAGTTATAACACTATTTGCAGGAACTGAAAGTTTAATCCTATTTTGACTTATGAATCTTTCAGCAACAGTTTGTCTTTTAACCTTAGGCTTTAGTGTTTCAACTACCTTAGACTTTGGTGGCCTACCTCTCCTTTTGGGAACCTTAGCTTCAGCGTCAGACTTGGGCTTTGGTGGTCTTCCACGCTTTTTTGGAATCACAACTTCAGCATCAACCTTAGACTTTACTGGTCTACCTCTGGGAACCTTAACTTCGGTATTAGACTTAGGCTTTGGTGGCCTTCCCCTAGGACGCTTGGGGTTCCTCTCATTTTCAAGCCTCTTAATTTCAGCATTCACCTGTGGATCGTCGGTTCGCCATCTACCTCCCATTGTTGGTGGTAAACCTTCAACTCCCCTACTTAGTAGACTCTGGTATGCCTCCTCAACAAGTAAGGCCTTAGCCTTTTGTCTCTCAGAATACTTCCATGTAGGCATAATTCCTCTTCTACCTTTATAGTTAAGTGGAAGTCGTCGTGGCTTCTTAGGATCCATAGAACGGTCAGCTTCATCTATGAATTGTCTTTGTCCTTCAAAGGGATCTTTGCCCTTATCCTTAGGTGCAACTCGATAAAACTTATCCGCAAATATTTCCTCGACTTTATCATCAATGTCGCTACTATCGCTATCATCAATGATCTCACTGAAGGCCATAAGTTGTTCTACAGTTAAATCGTTTAAGTCAAAGTTTGTCGCCATTTTTTCACTCTTTCTCTATATACTATATGTAAAAAAAATAGGCCTATTTAATTTAATAATTTATTTAACATTTAATTTTATAATTTTATTTAATTTAACATTTAATTTTATTTAACATTTAATTTTATAATTTTATTTAATTTAACATTTAATTTAATATTTTTATTTAATTTAATAATTTTATATTTTTATTTAATTTTATAATTTTATTTTATATTTTTGTTTAATTTCCAGTTATTATAATATTTACAATTTATAGGTTTCCATCCCAACTCGGGGAAGACTTTGCTGTATAACCTATTCTCAAGTATGTCCACAATTCTTTGAGTCTTAATGTCCTCAGGAGGGTTTCTCAGCGTGATGTTGTTCATGCTGGCTATCCTCAGTAGGTAAAACTTATATCTAACTATATTGCGCCCCCTTTGCAGTCTAAGTCTTTGTATACATCTTACGATGCTTCTAAACTGCTCCCTTATGGTATCCCTATCCCCTGAAGCAACATGCTCGAATAAGTGTCTCTCAAACCAACGGACTCTATTATGACAAGACTTCTTTTTCAGGTAGTCGTCCTCGTTGTGGTTGTAACTAACATAGTATGTGAAGCCGTTCCTATCGCTTGTACCACATTGTGTACATACATCTGCTCCATCTATTATTACAATAGACTTACTACCACATTCACTACATACTGGATCATATGTATGTTTTGTTTTTATTCTACTCTCCACGTACTTTCTCACGGTAGCCTCTAACTCTTCCAGTGTATTTGCCTTCCTACCTACCCGTGCCATTTCATCAGGTGTTACCATCTCTAACCATTCCATTCCTCTATACTATATATGTAAAAATTTTTTACCATATTATTTACAGTATTATATCATTAGGTAAGCCACCCCTCCAACCACCCCACCTGTAATTAAACCAAAGATTGCCATATATTCTGCCATCTCTGAGCTAGGTTTGTAGTGATTACTCAATTGCGGCCTTCTTGGCATAGCCTTACGTGTTAACTCATTGATTCTTCTAACGAGTTCCAGTGACTGGTTTGTTGAATTAATATCCTTATTTGCTTCAGCTAGTTCTGACTTCAGTTGAGCAATTCTGTTTCTCCTATCAGTGACTTCTTCGAGGTACTTCTCTCTTTCAGCTGTTAGGTTCTCCATTGCAATGTTGTGTCTATGAGCTTCCTCAGCATATCCATTCTTGTCAAACATCTTAAATAAGAATCCTGCTCCCGCAAATGCAAATGCATTAAATAGTCCTCCTGCTACTGCTCCCGCCATTATATAGTCTTACCAAAGTTTTGAATGGATCATCTGGTAGATACTTCTTTTCTTTCAAGTAAGAGACCAGTAGAGATGAAAGGCTAACTGAGACAGCTAGCTTCGCCATTCCTTTTACATTTTCTGGGGTGCCTAATGGTTCTTTTAATAGTTTTTTCGATGCCATTGAAATACCAACTGCTCCTGCTGTAAGTAACACTGCGTTGTACACTTCCATAGTCATCTTTGATTCTTTACTCATCTTGTTATAATATATAGTATGTTTAATGTATCATTCAAGTGAATCTAACTTGGACGCATCAGCTTTCCTAGTTACTTCTACAGTCTCAGGTATGTGCTTGTGTTCCGGTTCCCCGGTTTCCCTCTGGTGTGACTTAAATGCTAACACTAGAGATATAAGTGCGATTACAACACCCACGTATGTAATTATACTGTCGCTACTTTGTGACTCCTTTGGTTCAGCAAGTTTCTTTTTCCTCTCCTTTGCTATTCTGCTGATTGCGGCTAATCGTTTTCCCGCAGCTACTCTCTTTGGGTCCTTCTTCTTTTCACTTGTTACTTGTGCTTGGATTTGCTCAGGTTTATCTTCCATTCTACTTGTAAGATACCTTAGGTTTAACTGGGTTCCGTCTTATGAGATATCTTAAATTCTACTTGTGAGATAACTTGAATTTACTTGTAAGATGTCTCAAATCTACTTGTAAGATAACTCAAATCTACTGGTGAGATAACTGGTGAGATAACTTAAATCTACTGGTGAGATATCTTAAATCTACTTGAAAGATAACTTAGTACTTATCTGATTTGAACTTTGGTCTGTACGTCTTTACATCGCTGGTAATATTTTTCACTGCAACTTTTCTTACGGTTTTCTTAAGTGAGAAGTACTCGTTAATTCTAATACAAGTTTTTATCAAGTCGTCGGATATCATTACCATGTACCCTATTTCCATAAGCTTATGAAGCCATACTACCTGCTTCTCGCTTACAATCCCAGTGCCCTTAGGAGACTTAAATTCAATAGCAAATCCTTTATACTTCCCCATAGGATTCTCTATAATAAGATCCGGCTGACCACCTTTGTATCCCTTCTTCCAGGCATCACATCTCTTTAACACCGTGTCCTGATACTCACCTAGACCAGGTAAAATCACAGCCTCTGGGTAGTTGTCTCTAATGTAACTCACAACTGTGTGATGAAGGTCCGTTTCATTTATAAGGATTATTTGGTTATATCTGAGTGACCTTCTATCTGGTAAATTATACGAGCCTGTTTTACGGATGGATGGTAGGACTTCCCTGAAAACCCAGTCCTGGAAGTCCTCTGCTATTGGAAGTCTTGAGCTACATATCAGCTGGTACAATCCGGGTTCGTATAGTAAAATTGTATGTGGGTGACAATTCTTAAAGAGGGGCGAATCCGCCCCCCTTGCGTAACTCGTATACACTTATTTTGTTTCCTAACTAATTTCTGAACTGCCTTCTTTGGATCAGAGTACCCTAGAGATTCTGCCACATCTTTTGCATAAAACAGTACATCCTCACCACTCTCTACAGCTCTCACACTAACATTCAACTCCCAGTTTCTGAATAGTTTTTCCATCATTTCCCTATACTATATATGTAAAAATATTTGGGTCTATTTTATGACTATTTATCTGACATTTAAATTTGATTAAGGGTGGGACCGAAGTTGGGTCCCACCTTAAGTTCCCTCTACCCACCCAGCGTGTTAGCCCCCTAGTTTAAAAATATTACATTTCATTTAGTTTCTTGTATATCTTTACAACTGTTTTGATTGTGTCAGCCTTAAACGTCTGGAGGTCATATTGGAGTGGTCCTATGATTTTATTTCTAAGTGAATATAGGTCTCCCTCTAGTGAATTCAGTGTGTTTTGAATCTTATCTAGCTGTCTCCTATTTCTATCGGTTTTTTCAATCAGCTCAGTAATTATGTCTTCAAATTCTGTTCCTCCCCAAGCGTTTTCCCACTCATGTCCTGACATTCTTCTTCTGTATTTAATAAGATATGTTTAGCTTCCTCAGATATTTCCTCAGGTTCCTCCTTCTTATTCCACTTATGAGCAACAACATGCTTAGCTGTTGTACAACCACCTGATATTAGACCTATGAATGGAATGTTGGGGGATATCATTCTTGTTAGATAACATACATCATCCTTTAGAAGTTTATCACTAAGTAGTTCCTCTGACAGTTTCTCTGAAGATGCTACTACGCTGAAACTCCCCAGTACAGAAGCAAACTTTGAAATTATAAGTGTTGATAAGAAGTCACTTGCGCATGACATTCTTTGACTTTCATATTCCTGGTATAGTCTATCCACAACATCCTTGTTGGACTTTCTTATAAAACTTGCGGACTTCTCTATTACACCATCCCTAGATAGCTCTATAAGCTTGTCTCTTTTGCTTTCAGTTTGCGACTTATCTGCGGCTGGCTTAGTTTTTCTTGCGGTAGACTTAGCTTTCTTTTGCGGTGTCTTTGCGACCTCTTCTACTTCCCTCACAGCTGCTAGTATTTCTTCATCAGATTCAGATCCCATCTTTTATATCCTACGCGATGTTTTGTTTGATAGTGTATGTGTAAGGGTGAATAAGTAGTACATCTAGTGCGGTGAACTTCTTATCTTTTAATATTTTCGTAATCTCTGTAATTGTCTCCTGAGGAACGCCACTTAGGTAATCATCTGTTATAACCTTCATATCCCTACGACTAGGGTTGTAGAATGTGACTAACCTGGAAATGTTCTCCCTGAATGGTTTTGCTACTGATGATAATTGTTGGGTAAGTACAATAACTGATAAGTTGTAATGTCTTGCGGAAAATGCAAGGCGCACCAGTTCTGAGACTCTTTTCTTTACATCTTGACTTGCAGCACAGTCATCCACAATGATGAGAGCCTGGGTTCCGCGGAATATGGTGGACACTGCCTTGAGAATAAGATTGATCATTTCTTGTGAACATGGAATCTGTATGACTCCGTGGTCACTAATATGAGCCCAGTTAGTATAAGTCATATTCCATTCTATTGTTGGACATATAATGATAATGTAATCGAAAACTTTATTGTACTCTGTTTCTAACATATTAAGTAAGAACTGAGTCTTACCACTTCCTGTCATTCCTACTATTAGCATGTTGAATGGAGGTATTATATTCATCTCTATGCTTTACCGTTAGTACTAGCTGCGCTAGCAGCGTCTACTGACGTAGTCGGTACAAGTTAATATTGAATACTTAATAGATCTCTATTTGCGAAGTTAAGGAGAGCATCTGATACAATAAAAATGTTGCACTGAACGTTAGCTGTTGTGGCTCTCTTTTTGATTTCCAGGAGTACTCCCGACTGTGTGTTGACAATCTTTTTGCCTCCACCAGTGGTATCATCTTGTGTTGACCTAAGATCGATTACTAGAGCGAAACCATTGGTGAAGAACTTACTGATGGACATAAATTCGTCTGCCATGGATTTCTCACACATAGGGCAAAAGAATCTTTTTGCCTCTTCGAAGAACCTATTTTTATGAAGTCCTTGGGAGAAAACTGCATTAGGCACACCCTCAATGGTCAGATTCACTTTATCAATGTTTGGGTAAATATATTCTTCAGAATCAGTTCTCACTCTATTGGTAAATAGAAGGACAATTGCTGACATGCTCTTTCTGGGGATATTAATGTTTTCATTGACAATGGTAAGATCTTTGTCCCAATTACTTGTACGCATAAGTGTAACGTGTTTGTAGGATAGTGAGCGACCCGTTGAATACATCCTTGATACTTCACTTGCAAGGGCGTCATTCTCAATGGTCTCGTATTCTAACTCAAGATTATCAAGTTTATAGCCATCTACTTGTTCACCTCCTTGGGCAGTCATAATCTCATCTGATTGCGGGAGTGTGAGGATGTACATAGGATTGTTATTCATGGAGAACGGTGTGTAGAGTCCATGGTCTGCGATTATTTTATCAATTGGTTTCCTCAGCTTAGAACCGTACACACTGTGGAGAAGTGCATCTGCTACTTTATTAGCATCACCAGCTTTTGCTCCTGAGTCATCACCTGATATCAGCTTCCTAAGATTCTCACTTGCGAGACCCTGTTCAGTCATCTTATTTCTGTCACCAAGTGTTAGCCATAGATCTTTGTATATTTCGTACAAACTCTCTCCTGAACAGTCATAAGCTGTTTCACCTGCTACTTTAATCTGAAGACGTTTTGCTATCAACTTAGACAGGTTGTTATTAAATCGACTTTTTGTATTGGAATTTTTGAAGTCAAATAATAGTGCAAGTAATCCTGGGACTAAACAAGAGTCAGGCTTTAGTTTAGGAATGTTAATGTACAGCTCTTCACCTGGGCCAATAGTTGTTGGATTAAATGTTACAACACTTCTAGTTCTGGGACCTTTTACGGATGTCATACGGCTCCTCCTGAAGCCAGGCTGGAGTTCTCTTTCTGTGGTATTCATGCTTTTATACAATATGTAATGTTTAGTTGTATTTATATAGTAAAACTACTGCTGCACATACAATGATTATCCATATATTATCCGCTGCTAACTCTACTCCATCAGCTATCTTCTGAAATACAGGTGGTAGTTCTATTTGGTGGTTTACCAACTCACTGATCTTCTTATCGAGCTTTCCTGTTGTGTCACCTACTTTCCATAATATGTTTCTAGTTGATGCTACCAGTCCTATGATTACAGCTGATGAGGAAATTAGAACAGCTGATAGGATGCCTGCATTCTCCCTTGCCCATAACCTGAGCCTCTGCAGTCTCCTACGATCATCCCGTTTAATGAGATCCCTCTTTTTCACCTTATCTCTTAGGTTGAGAAGTTTATTTAAGTTTGACTCTCTTTGGTAATCATTTGATAGCATTCTGACGTATCTCAGTTCTTCCGACTTTTCTTTGAAATCTTCTTCGTCCAAACCGGATAGTATTAATTCATTTAACAGTCTGTCTCCCCTATCCATTAGATCATCGTATGACAGATTAGATAGGTCAGGGAATTTCTCAGCTAATTGCTCTCGCGGAAGGTCTTCACTCAACATTTTTCTCCTCCTCAGTTCCTGTACGTAATTAATTTCCTCGTTAATATCCTGGGTCTCCTCAGTAGTTTCGCTTTCCCTAAGATCCTTGTCAAGGTACGGTAATTCGCTATCTAAAGTTTCTATATCCATTTCTTCATAGTTCGGATACTTTTCCCTCAACTCCTCCATTTTCTGGTCATCGTATTCCTCCTGGTGTTCCTCCATAGCTAATTTACTTTGTGTAATAATTGTATACCATTAAAGCTGCAGCTATAGCTAATACCCATAAGTGTGACGCTAACCAGGCAATTCCTTTGGCTCCCCATGATAGCGCTGTTGCAATTGCGTTCAGAATTGGAACTAGAATTGGTCCTGCTTTCTTTGCTAAATTTGCTAGTGCTTTTGCTACTTTACCAGTGGCCTTTGCTGTCTTCACAATGGCTCCCCTAGCATGGATTAACAAGGCTGTAATTAAACTAGCTGTTGACACTGCTATCCCTACAAGTCCCACCTTTTCCTTTCCTACCCAGTCTATAAATCTGCGTAATCTAGAAATGTCTTCCAGCTGTGCCTCTCTTGCTTCCTCTATTGTTCTCTGTTCTAGGGTTCGATCTCTAGCTTCCTTCAAACTGTCAATTCTTTCTATAAGGGAATTATACTCAGTTGTACCTTCCGCAGAGGTAGCGCGTTCCACGGTTTCACCAATAGCTTCATTAAAGTAGTCAGCCTGAATTTGTAACGCTCCATTGGGACCTGTTCTGCCTTCTATGCTTGATCCATCAGGTGGGTTAAGTACTCCTCTCAGTTCATTATTTTCTTGCATTGTTAGCCCTGGAAGGTCTCCTAGTTTTGCGCTTATATCTATTAACTCAATGTTCTCACGGTCAGCGTATTCCTCACTACTTTCATCGAATTGTGGCTCTTCTCTGGTTTCCTCATAAATTGATTCATCACTTCTAATTATATTGTCAGGATTCGTAGGTACCTCTTTTATTTTCTTTAGAAGGTCCTTATATTCTCTCAGAGCAGGTGAGTTCTTTGAGTACACGAGAGTCCCGGTCTTACCACGTTTCATTATTTGTGTCCCACTTTTATCAATACCTTGTTCACTTCTAAATATCAACACCTCTGTGCCATCCTTGAGTGTCCTTACAGATGATCGCTTGATGAGTTCTCTGACATATCTATTCTTTGGGTCTAGTACTAGTCCCTCCTTACCCCTGATAACTCTTGTGACAGCTTGAACACGCTCTACTTGATTTTTAAAATCTCTCTTTTTACCTGCTATTGAAACCTTCTCTAGGCGGGCTTCTATATCATCCCAGTTAGTGTCAAATGATTCGTCGAATGCATCTAGAACATCTGGAAGTACATTGTTTGGGTCTTCCACGAAATTTACTCCTGGGGCAGTTGTACTTCCTGATGGACCTGAAATGTTCACTGTACCATCATTTCCTTCGGTGAAAGTTGTTTCCTGCTCTTTAATTCTATTAATTTCCGCAACGGTATCCCTAAGGCTAAAAACTATTTCTCGTGACCTCATGAGACGCTTTACATAGTCAAGTTCACTTTTAAGATCAGTTAATACTATAGGGTCATCACCATACATAGCCTCTCCCTTCACCCTTGTATCTAACCTACTAAAAGCAGTCGTTAGGTCATCATAATTAAGATCGTCATATTGAGGATAAGTTTTTTCTGTCTCCTCCAACTCAATGTCATCGTAGTCCTCCATAATACTTTAACTTATGTTAGGGACTTAATGTCTCCAGCTGGGATCCAACTGTTAAATTTGTCATCATAACCTAACCACTTAATGAGAGCCATCTTTTTACCCTTCACCGTTTTTCTTCTTAGTACTTTCTCTATCTTAAAATCAGGTTCTCTTCCTTCAGCGCTATACAGTTCCTGTTCATAGAATCTGCCAATTATTACTTCACCAGCACTGTCTTCTATTGTGTACGTGTTTGGATGGCCGTGATACACTTCCGTCACCGTAAATAACTCCTCTGTGAAATTAGCTTCGTATCCTTTTGTGAACACTGATTTGTACTTTGAGATCCTGACACTTTCTCCGACAGCAAACTTTGGTTCTGACGGCTTGCCTAAATTGTGACTAAAAAGTGTCTTCCATACTTCAGTCCAATTGGACTCATTTACACTGTCTGGTGTTGTTTTAATTGATCTGTTCACTGAACTGTTGTAATTATCAGTTAAGTCTTGAAGGACGTCTAACCATTTATATGTACTGGCACTGTAAAAGTACTTCCACATTAGAGATTTCAATGTTCTGTTAAATCTTTCCACAACTGCAGCCTTTTTATCTGAGTAAGTGGAGAAAAACTCAATGTTATGTTTATTGAGCAATGACTTTACTTCTTTGTTGTAGAACTCTGTGCCCTGATCAAACTGGGCGAATTTTGGGTATTTACCAAAACGATTATTAAATTGCTCTAAAATGTTACTGACTGCGTCCTTCATTGATGTCGCGTTTTTCCTATACACTGGTACCGTGAATGCGTACCTACTTAGTATTTCGATTGATGTGAGAATCCATCGGTATCCCTTATTCTTATCGGCATATTTTGTCATGTCAACTAAATCCATTTGTAACTGTTCACCTAAAGTTTGAACGTACGTCTGTCTGAACTTATGTTTACTGAATACTTGTCTGTACCTAGTGTATGTGTCTTGCTCGTTTATCCATTTCTTGACCTGGTTTCTGGTTACTTTAAGTCCGTCTGATACTGCTCTAAGATATAGTTTCTCTGGTGTTTGGAATCCAGTCTTAGGACTGTAGTAAATATCTCGTAGTCCTTGTTCTTTCATAATATCGTCGTCCATCTTATATTAACTAATGTAAGCTCACTACCGACTACGTCAGTAGACGCTGCGTAGCTAGTACTCAAGGTACATCTCAATAAGCACTTCACCTATATCAATAGGTTTCCCGTCTTGATCTGTCGTGTAGAATACAAGTTCTGAGAAGGAGCCCTTAACTACGGGAATTCTACTTTCAACATCGATGTAGCTAACCACAGAGCCTAATAATGGTCTGTCAGTTGGGATTGTAATGCTTGTTATTACATCGCTATGTCTTCCCCAGGTGTTAACATTGAAGCTGTTATTAGCTAGATTGCAGTGTATATTTACACATCGTAGACCGTTATTAAAGTCAACTTTGCTATCACTTGTCAGACTCCTCCCTTTTAGTAGGATCATAGGATTATTAAATCTATTAAAACCTAACATGGTCAGTAATCGTGTTTCTATTGTGATATCTTGTTTTACTGCTTCTATTTGGCATCCTGCAGTTTCAGCAAAGTAGGTTAGCTTAACACCGTGTCTTTCAAGTAGCTTCTTCATACTGTCAAATGTGTAGTAACCTTTATAAATGATTACATCAGATTCTCCATCATCTGTTTTCACTTTGAGAATAGTTGTTGGTTCCCTTATGTTGAAGTACTCCCAGAAAACTGATACTCTCTTCATAAAGACTGAATTATAATTGCTTGTTAGAACTGAGTTTTGTAGTGATACAACTGTGTGCGAGCTCTGGAGTAAAATTGTGAACTTCATCTTAATAACATACGTTAGGTTATTAAGAATGAGACTAGGTGGAGGACAAGTTGGTAAGTCGCCGTATCGGTCGTACCAAGAATATGAAAAAAAGTATGGAAACAAAGACGATGGAGATCATGTTGATCCTGTTGCTGGTAAAAATGCAGAGAATGCTGAGAGGGCTAGGTTTATTAAAAAGTACCCTCACGCTGACATGAATAGGTTTAAGTTTGAAGCAAAGGCTACTAGTAGTGGTGATATAGGAGTTATCACTTGGTTTGTTGATTTAGATGGTATATCTTCGTATGATATTAGGTATGACGGTTTTAAGAAGGATAAGGAGTTTACATCTTATCTCACAGGTACTAAGAAAATTATTATTCCCACACAGTTTATACCTATGGTTGATATGAAACAGCCTCCACTAGAAAGTATTGGTGGTAGGTGGCCATATATGTGGTCATCTGGGAGGGGAAGTGGATATGAAGTAAATCCTGATGACACAATTGATGGTCTAAGTTACTTTCCTCAGGTAAGATGGCCTAAGGATGTTAATAATTTTAAGGTGTATGTCGATGCTACAAGCTTTTTTACTACTACTGGTGGTGCAGGTGGATCCCTTTTTCCAAGTGTGGCAAGCTTTATTACCATTAAGAATGTTGATGTAAAATTCGACTATAAAAAGCCATACTTTGCTGCACTCTGTGGAGCTTACATTGCAACGCATCTTAGTGGGATTACCACTGATCATATGACTTTTATTAATGAAACATATCCTGTTATCACTAGTGTCATGAATTTTCATGTTTATTACACTATCAGGAAATTTGTGTATAACCCAGAGAGACTGAGACCATATTTGAGTAAGTTGGGTCCTGTAAAGAGTCACATCCCTATTGTTGGTAAGTGGGAGAGTAAAACTGATACTTATAGGGTTACTTATGATAATGGACTCGAGTATGAAAAAGCAAGTTGGCTTAGGAAGAGAGGTAGTGATAGTAATCCAGTTAGAAACGTGGTTGCATCCCCTATAAATTCAGTCAATGGATTTCTAATTAAGATAAAAATTAGTTACGAGGAAAGGGTTTCGGTAAGTTTGGTAAGTAAGTCTGACTATAGAAGGTTTATTGCTGTTAATAATTTTGTTGTTCCTAAAAAGATTACAGAAACTGGGCTACTTCTGTTAAACGAGTCAGTGCAGGCGTTCTCATATTCCGTACTAGGGGCACAAGCATCGACAAGAACTCCAATTGTCGGTGAGTTGGGAAAATCATTTTCTACCCAGGTAAAGTTCGGTAATATTGTTCACGATTGTGTTGTACAAGCAGATCCCGTTGTAACTCTGTCTAATATGAGAAAGGCTATTGAAGACACCAATGTTATACTTAATACTGCCATTACACCTGGAATAGTTCTGGTTCCATCCAGTCTGATTATTCTAAAGAAACCTATTACTGGATATAATAATGTGCTTGTAAATGCTACCTTTGATATGAAACGTGGTGTTAACACAAAGCTTAATTATGTTGGTGTTAAAAAAGCTGATCCTCCAAAGAAGCAACATCAGGATACAACACCTGTTAATCACCTTGATACTCTTAGTGGACATGTGAAACAACAGACTACACCAAGAGAAAACAACTCCTTTCGTAAAACTATGGTTAACAGTAACAACCCCCCGGGGGTTGGCGCTATTGCTGGGGCTGGAATTGGTGCTACAGTTGTATTTATTATAATGAAAATATTTTTGTAAACATTGTGTATGTTATAAAATGGCTCTCTATAAGGGATATATTAAAGGTGTAAATGAGGTAGATCCAACAACTGGTAGTGTGTTTGATAAGGACGGATTTACCATAAAGGGTGACATTGAGATGGATGGTAATGAGGTGAAGGGTTTAGGTGCACCAACAGATGATACGTCTGCGGTTGCAAAAAAGTGGGTAGATGATGAGATAATAAAACAGGCTGCTATTACAATTCAACCTGCAGGGTTTACAATGACTGGGGATATTAACATGGGAGGTAATAAAATAACTAATCTTGATAATCCTACTAACCCAGGTGACGCTGCCAGTAAGAGCTGGGTTGAGGGTAGTCGTGCTAGTTTACCTGGGCTTGTTCTTACTAGTGATCTCAATATGTCAACAAATGAGATAAAGGCTCTAGGTGATCCAACAACTGGAAAGTCTGCTGTTAGTAAGGATTGGACCCTATTACAAATAAGTAACCTGGACTCTTATGTAGCCGGTCTCTACGTCCGGATTGACGGTACGCGTATAATGACTGGTAACCTTAAATTAGGTGGAAATCAAATTGAAAATGTTGGTGATCCAACAACTGGAAAGTCCGCAGTTAATAGGGACTGGGTAGTTAAAATGCTAAATAAACCTATAACAGGACTTAATATTGCTGGTGATATTGATATGAAGGACCATGAGATTAAGAATCTTAAGGATCCCTCTGAGGATCAGTCTGCTGTTACAAAAAAGTGGGCGGTTGATAATAACTTTGTTAAAAAAGGTGGAATAATGCAAGGAGATGTGTCCATGGGAGGCTGGAGATTGTTTAATCTTATTGACCCTAAACTTGATAGCGAGGCTGTACCAAAAAAGTGGGTTGAAGATAAGATGTCTACAATTCCTAGCACCTCTGGTTTTACAATGTCAGGTGATCTTCAAATGGGTGGACATGAAATTAAAAATGTTGGTGATCCTAGTTCGAGTACATCTGCTGTTAGTAAAAGGTGGGTTACATCAGGATTCACTCTAAATGGTGATCTAACCGTTGCAAATGGTAATTCAATCTATACGACCAACAACCTTGGTGCAAAAATAGCTATTCTCAATATTCAAACTGTGGTTAACCAAATTTCACGCTTTGCCTTGAAATTGAACGGTTCAAATGAAATGACTGGTGTTCTCAAGATGGGTGGAAATGAAATTGAAAATATTGGGGCTCCTGGTGCCGACGAATCTGCAGTTAATAAAAAGTGGGTGGAAGATAAGATTAGCGGTGGTAGAAGAAAGCGTGAGACCTACAGCGGACTTACATTATCTGATGACCTTGATATGGGAAACAATGAAATTATAAAGTTAGGTGCTCCTACAACTGATAATTCTGCCGTGTCTAAGAAATGGGTCGCGGATCATGTCAGTGGGAGTTCTGTAAGTAGTAGCGGCTTTACTATGAGTGGTAATATTGACATGGCTGGTAATACTATTACAGGACTGAATAGCGGCTCGTCTGGTGATTCTAGTGCTGTTTCTTATGGTTCTATGACTTCATGGTGCTCACAGTTTCTTAAGCGTGATGGTGGCACTTTAGCTAGTAACTTAGATGTTAACGATTACGAGTTGACTAGAGTTGGAAATCCTACTACCTTCGGTTCAGCTGTTAATAGGAGATGGGCAATAGATGAGTTCATGAGTAGTAGAGGTGGACTGGTAAAAGGTGATTTGGATATGGGAGATTCAAGTGGAATCCTTGATCTAAAGGATCCTGTAAATGATAAGGATGCTGTTAACAAACAGTGGGTAGAAAAGAATTTCCTAAAACCTTCAACTGGCCTCACTCAAGCAACGGCTGACTTAAGATATGTAAGAATACGGCGACATATACATGCAGAATGGATTTGGGGTTATCGTGGTGTTTCAGTTGCAGCAACAAGGTACTACGCTTACTGTCACGATCAGATTCCATCTTCATGGAGAACAGATCCTATTAATAATATGGCAGACCTAAACCTTGAATCAATAACTATAAAAACAGACTACCCACGTTTTTCAACTGTTCTAAATATACCCCTAGCTTTGATCCTGTGGGCTACTGTATGGGAAAAACAATCTAACGGAAAATTTACACAGGTTAAAAAGGAAATCACTCTTGCCACGGTTGACTTAAGAAGACTGTCACACACTTGGTTTAATGGAACTTACACAACTACCGGTGGAAGTACAGCTTGCTACGTTTTTAAGGGTAATAGTATGTTCTATTTAGGAGCCCAGGCTGAGCTGGTAGATAATACGCTGGCCTGGTGTATTATAGTTAAACCTGAACACTCAATGCCAACAGGTTCCAGTATGGACATGTCCTTTTGCTGGTCACTCCGATATTCAGGGTCAGGTAGTTAACATGCGGTTTATCATAAGATAAAATGTCAAGGTGGAGGTCATGCTTCTCCTGCTTAGGTAAGATTTGTGGTTGTCGTAAGAGTTCTAGTAGAACTGGGAAGTCTGGTGACATAAATTTCTCTGTATCAAATAATATTAACATTGGAGTAAGTACTCAGGATAAAAAAGCTACTTCAAATGTTGTGTTAGAGCCAGAAAGTTACGACCCCTTTAAAATGGTTAAGCTTGAAATGTTGGATACTAAAGGAACTGTTGAATAGAGGATTTGAAAATAAGTTAAAAATAATGCTGAAAAATAATATAATAAATACACGTTAAAAAACCACAATAAATAAATGGTCTAGAAACTTGAGCCCGCGTTTTTGGGGGAAAATATGGAAGCCGCTGACCGGAAGTGGGATGAGATCGCGGGCTGAAAAAGTGGTCTAGAACCGCTACTTCCTATACTACTAATCTAAGCGATGTGAAAACATTTTTCCCAATATTTAACTGTAAATTAACTTATAATGAATATACTCACAATTATAGTTATACTAGTTTAAAAAAAAAGGTCACCAAGAGGATTAAGATTAGTGTGGGATCAACATTACCATTAACATTAAGGTTAGAGGTTAGAGTAGGGGGTTGGGTCGGGGTTAGTTCCCCTATTTTGGCTATTATCCAGTGGCGTAGCCAAGAGGGGGGCGACTGCCCCCCCAATCGGAAAAAAAAATTCTCTGAAAAAGGCTAAATCCGTAGAGAAATTGGGGGGTACACGTTACATCCTCGAAGCTGAAACTGACTAAGTACGTCTCGACTGAGGAAAACGACGATATACTGGAGGGACTTGATTTGTAAAATGTCGTTAAAGCAGTTGTAGATATAGTTCCAAGAGGAATAGATTTAGTTTAGATTTACATGTATGCATTTAATATATCATAGCATGAATATTCTGTATCGTTTAAAAAAGCAACGCAATTTTGAGAATGCGGACTCATAGAACCTAGAATGATTTAAATGCAACATTTCTGATCAAAATCACATTGGGATTTTCTTCCCCCAGCATCACAGAGGGGAAATAAGGTGACGCTGACCGGCTCCTCCTGTTTTTCAAGGTAACTTTTACAATTTATTTAATTCCGAGTAGAAAATTAGGAATGTCTGGGAAAATTCATGTCTTCGATGTACTTTATAATCTTCGGAATTCTGCAAGATTTCACCCCCAAAATGCTTGAATTCGCATTTCAGGGACTCTAGATTTCAAAATTTTCCCGGGGGTGCATGCTCCCGGCCCCCTTAGATGGTCTTGCGCCTTCGGCGTTCGCTTCCCCCCCCCCCAAAAATGAAGGTCTGGCTACGCCACTGCTATTATGATTAAAATAAGGCAAATGGTTAATTGATGATTATCATTAAAATAATGGTGAGGACATGCTGATGCGCCACCACTCTACCATACTACTCTGTGATGCTACAGTATGAAAAAAAATGCCCTGATTTGATCGAATTTGTTTGCTGCTGCCACGCAGGCTCGGGTCACTTACATGGAATATGCCTGTTCGCAGGTTCTTTCCCGCGAAAATGTTAAAGATGGCGAGAAAATTCTAGGTTATCAGAAATGAATAAGTTACCTTCAGAGAGCATACGTCTTCTCTCAAGTTCACAAGTCATAACATCGCCAAGTTCTGTTGTAAAAGAACTCGTTGAGAACGCATTCGATGCTGGTGCAACCACTCTCGATGTTAAACTAGTAAGTGCAGTATATTTGTCATTTGTGACTGTAGCAATTGTTCAGTTTATGTGCATCAGTCAAATCCAAGCGTGCCCATCCAACCCTCCCCCCGGACAAACCCCCTGGCTTTTGACAATTTTCGAAAATATGCGAAAAATTCCCGGGGGTGGGGATAAAAACACGTGAAAATGCCCCGCAGTGCAGCAAAAAATCAGTAGCAAATCCTCCACTTTGGGGCAGCTTAACTGTTTGGCTAAGGGCCTGTTTATATGGTAGCCGGGCTGGCCCGCTTAGCGAGACAGTCTGGTAAGCGGGATGAATTTCTCTTGTGTTGATATGAGAAAATTTCATCCCACTTTCCGGGACAATTTTGCTACATTGTATTGTTTTGACAGTTGTTAAAAATAGCTTGCGGCGGTATCTTTCAACTTTCATCCCGGCAACTGGGTTAGCCCGCTTGTGAGTATTTATATGGAGAAATTTCCATCCCGGTAAGCGAGATCTCACCTCTTTGAAGCAAGATCTTGGCAACCGGGCCAGCCTGCTTGTCCATATAAACACACGATAATTTTTACTATAAAAATAACTACACAGCGAGATCTTGCTTGTACCGGGCTGTCTCGCTTAGCGGGCCAGCCTGGCTTCCATATAAACAGGCCCTAAGAAGAGTAGGTTATCCAATTACCTGAAAATAAAGAGAATACTTTCTTCAGACCTGTCAACTCTCAGGGAGACTCCTGGTTTTGACCTTTTTCTCCCGGTATCAAGATATTTTCTCCCGGTTGCTTGTTTTAATTGTTACGAGGTAATGGAATATTTTCCAGATTCAAATATCTGGCAAGAAATAGTAATTGTGTGAAAATCACTTGTGTCCAAGCTGAAACTTACTCCATGAACTACAAGTGTTCGGCTTTTTTATCCACTTTCGCACTATAAGTATGAGCAATATAAAGTAGATTATTGTAAGGATATGAGATGTAACGTGGGATCTCGAAAACTAGTTGCATTCTTGCCATGTTTATAGCATTAAATTAAATTAAATTAAACAAGTTGTTGAAGCGAATGCAATTATAATGATTGCCATTATAATGATTGCCATATTAGCATTAAATTAAATTAAACAAGTTGTTGAAGGAATGAAGCGAATGCAATTATAATGATTATAAAGCCGGGAAAATGATTAGAATTTTTACTGTTTTGAACACTGCATATGACTTTAATTTTGCTCTCCTGGTTTTTGATAAAATCTCACAGTTTTTTAAGGGCTAAAAAGCGAAATCTCCCTGTTTTATAATAATTTTAAGGTTGACAGGTCTGCTTTCTTCGACGTGCGCATCATACATACTCTAGCGCCATGCTCACCATGCTCTAGTGCAAGCATTTTAAAGTTTGCGGTGTGGTTTGTATCTATGCATTTTTAAACTACAACAATTGACTGGCTTATATTTTTTAAATGTTCTAGCTGAAACTGGTATTGTTTTGTTTTATATTAGTATCAAGTTATCACGACCACTTATGCACCTATCATCGTCTTGTCCGAGGGGGGTAACCCCGGGCGAACCTCGGGAAATCCCGGGGAATGCAAAATCTACGTGGAACAAAGTTTGACATTTTCCCGGGACCCAGGGAAATGTGGAAAATTAAATTCCCCGGGACCCTGGGGTATGCCTATTGATGACTTTTTATGGGTCATATCTTGCATACTTTGTCCAAAGGTGCGTTTACACGCTTGTGGAGCATATTTAAATTTCAGTAGTAAAGTTTAGTACATTAGAAAACATATTCATTCAGCAAAGTACCAGTTTATAAATATATTGCCATTGAATAAAATGAAACGATTACCCACCAAAACTGTCTAGTTGAACAAATTTGTTAGTAAATATTGCGGTATATTATACTATATTATCTAAAAATTTAAACGTTTAAATCTTGTACATTCATTATTAGTTACAAATATGAAACTAACAGACTTGTTTATAGCAGGATTTGTAACAACATGTTGACAATACTGTTCATAGTGGGCTGCACAACCTTGTTTACGCCTGTTGATATCAACCTGGAACAAGTTGTTGATTTTCTCAATTTTTACGTGTGTACTAATTTGCATTTAAGATTCAATGGTCAGCGGTATTCAGCGGCTTAAATGGTTTGCAATTTCCCGACCCCTGGGAGTGTACAGATTTTAAATGTTTGAAAATTACCCACCCCTGGGGGGAAAGTAAATGTTACAATCCCCCAGTATATCCCCACATTTTCCCGACCTTGTCCCGGAGTTACCCCCCTCGGCAAGACAATGATAGGTGCATTAATATCAGTGATTGTAAAACCTCCAAATCCTTAATTTCAATGCCCCGCCCTGGGGCAAAGGTTTGAGTTCAAATGCCCAACCCCCGGGATGTTTTTTTACAGGAAAATGCCCACGGTGGCCGGGAGATGGGCACGCTTGCATTACCTGATGCATTATCAATAAACCAGGTACAATTAGCCATTTCCCAATTGAGCAGAGGACTGGGTCTAGTTTCTAGGGATAACAAGTTATAGTGAGCGAGCTAAATATATATCAAAAGATGCCTTATTATAATTGTTTCGTTTCAGCAAATAACTTTAGGAATGTAGGAAAACTTCCTAGATGCCATATTCGGCATATTGTTTATTTTTTGTCCCTCCAAATAAGCGACTAGACCCAGTCCTCTGCTCAATTGGGAAATGGCTAATTGGGCTATTTTCAAAACACTTTACCCCTGAGGAATTCCAAGCTCATTTTACTCCAGACTGTGAAAAGTTTGTATCACACAACCGAGATATCTGTTTGCAATTTTGAAGCAGCGGCGGAAATTCACTTTTTGCGGTGGGGAGGCAAAGCCTCCTAAATTTCCGACAAAACTTTCAAATTTCCGACAACCCCCCCATTTGCACTCGAAAAGACCGTTTTTAGCCCTCTTTTAGGTCAAAATTTAAAATTCGTCAATTTTCCGTGAAGAATTTCCCATTTGTAATAAAATGACTGAAAAACGGCAAACTTCGCAAGGCTATATTATCCGCATTTTACAACATTTCGCAACGAAACTTCGGAATATTACTAATTTTGTGATGCTCTTTCAAGCTGTGATGAAATTTTTGTCCAGGCTTATCTAGATCAAAATTTCGCTCATAAGGGGAAAGGTCTATTAAGATTCACGACGTCGACATTTAAACTATAAATATTTTACATTCTTTTGAAAATGAATTTTAAAGAGACACATGAATTCATAACCGTTTGCTATGCTCTTGTATTTACGACGGTAAAACTGTTCTTGTGAGGTTGTCGACGTTTGGTGGACGACGAGCAAATTGAGAGAGACACGTGCACACTTCAAAAACTATTGCCAATTTACTTCCGATTGCCGCCCGACGTCGTTGATATTGAGCTATCTACTTATTTAGGACAACATCCTAGTCCCAGTCCTCTGCTTAGCCCTGACGTCCTAGCTGACGTCGACGTCGTAGATCTTAAGCTATCTATTGAGTTTTAACTTATATTTATTGCATACTTGAGATAATTTTTTTTTTTAAATAAAATGTTTTTCCGACCTACCTACCCATATAAACCATGGTTGTGAAACCTGAAACCAACTATTAGTTTTATTTGGCCTTACCCTTGATGACTAACCCCAAGAAAATACCATGTCTTCTAGAGGTGTGCAAATCCCAACTGATCGGATTCGGACAAATTTTACGTGTTTGGATTGGATCGGATTTTTTTCTTCTATCGGTTTGGATTTCGGTTGTTTTTCCATCGGATCGAATCAGCTACTGGAAAAATAAATCCGATGTATTAGATTTTGTTATTTAACGTCATTAAACTCGCAATTATTGCTTCACAATTATGGTTCAGATTTTAGAATTTTAAGAAAGCACATGATTTCTATCAAATTTTTTTTTGACCTTGGGTAATTAAAACAATTTGGATAGTCGATAGTCTTTGTATCATCCATGCATGCTTCAACTAACATTTTATTTGAAAAATGTTAGTGTACCTTGTTCCCGCTTCCCATTATCTGTTGTTTTATATACACAGATTCTTCAAATAAGAATACTCAATTATGTTTCTTTGTTGGTTTTACAAACATTTTCAATACGTGTTTCCGTTGTCAATCTGCCATGACTTTGTTTTTAGCATGGTGATAGATAATTGAAGTTACATATGTAAGATATGCTTTTTTTCTCAGATCACTCACAGTTACGATACTTTAGATTGGATCGGATTGCAATTTTTAGCATCGGATTGGATTTAATAAAACATTTTCGGATTGGATCGGATTACGTTTCAGCTCATACCGAATCAGATTCTGATTCAGAAGGTGGGCAAAACCTCTGATTCAAAGAGCCCGATCCGATCATCCGACGCACACCTCTAATGGTCACTGGTTATACATCTGACACCGGATCAGCACCAATTCGGTGCCAGAAAGTGCAAGAAATGGCAATTTCAAGCCTCAGTGTTTCAAATTTTTCACAGACTGCCCTAGTTCCCAGCGTCCCTAACTTTAAATACGTGTTTTACCCAAATTAGCCCCCCCCCCAAAAAAAAAACCCAATAAAGCTTGTTCTGCTGCCACCAGTTATTGCTACAAACTCGAGCTGGTACAAAGTAACAAACTTAACTCTCAATAAGTCTCAAGGTGTACTTAGTCTTTAAAATCAGAACATAAAGCATAGTTTTCACGGTGGTCAAAGGTATTACAAACACTACGGTTACATCCAACATTCTTGTCCAATCATGTCACAGTTACATGTGTAACACATGTATCTACTTAATTACGGTTTTGAATGCTTTGGGGACCGGAAAGGCCATGGTACCAGGCGAAAGTAAGTACACAGATAGCAAGAATTTCACGTACTGTACCAGTGAAAAAAGTGGGCGTTGTGAAAACCCGGAATATCACGGAATATGGCGGAATATCACGGAATATGCCGGAATATGGCGGAATAACACGGAATATCACGACATTTTCCCGGAATATACCGGATCATCACAATATTTTCCGATGGTAGATGCGACTGTTTATAAACATGGACGTCTGACAACATATTTTATTACAAAAGTGATGATTCTTTCCCATTGTGACGGGAAATAACAAACAATAACTCTATACTGGAAGTTTTATATGTTGTTTATATCATTATTACGAGTGTTTACCAAAAATTTTGAATCAATATGATTAATTCCTCCTGAGCACATCGTCTTGAAAAACAAAGTGCTGACGTCAGCATTATTTTCGAACGCCTTCAGAACTGTGTTATACACAAATTTAGTTAAAATTGACCATTTTATACCACCAAGCATTTATCCAAAAATCAAATGCTAAAATAAAGACAAGTTTGAGCCAAGATGTTTAAATTCTTGTTTATATCAGGTAAGAAGTCTCATCTTAACCTATTAACACAGTTCTGAAGGCGTTCGAAAATAACGCTGTAACTCAAGAGGAATTAATCATATTGATTCAAAATTTTTGGTGAACACTCGTAATAACGATATAAGTAATAATGATATAAACAACATATAAAACTTCCAGTATAGAGTTATTGTTTGTTACTTCCCGTCACAATGGGAAAGATCCATCACTTTTGTAATAAAATATGTTGTCAGACGTCCATGTTTATAAACAGTCGCATCTACCATCGGAAAATATTGTGATGTTCCGGTATATTCCGGGAAAATGTCATGATATTCCGTGATATTCTGCCATATTCCATGATATTCCGCCATATTCCGCGATATTCCGTGATATTCCGGCATTCCGGGTTTTCACAACGCCCGAAAAAAGTACCAGCAATAAATTGTGTATTGGCATTAATGCCTCCCTGTCAATGACCCCATCAAATGTAATGCTTTGTTTTCCCAACATTGCCGAGAATATCTCTGTGAAACAATATATACAGCCACAGGGTGTCTCAAAAAAAGGCAGTCCAACTTTAGCATGCCATTGTGCGTTAATTACGCAGTGTATGAACTATGATTGAAGATTCGGCTTTTAGAGATGAAGATTACTTTTAATTTGGCTGTTGAATGACATTGTTCTCTATAATGGATGGAATCAAAGCATGTCATTCAACAGCCAAAAGCCTGATCTTTATGATTACGAAAAAACTACTGTACGTTAATACACCGAGTAATTGACGCACAATGGCATGCTAAAGTTAGATTGCGGTTTTTTTAGACACCCTGTATATATAGAGAGCTACCCCCAATTCGCAATCATATGAAGCATTCATGCAGTACATATATGTACAGGGGCGCACATTAGGGGGTGTTTGGAGGGGAGTAACCCCTCCCTCCCATTACTCGAAAATCACAAGAAATCTGTCCTAGTTTCGATTGAGATTGTATCAAAAGTCGGTCCAGAATTTTTGCTATGAGAGTGTTTAATCCACAAGCCACAAATGTCTGGTGTAGACCACTGGAAAAAATTTTGAAAATCCATAGAAGGTCATAGAATGGAAATTGTATGGACCTTTATTGGAAATAGAATGGATTTTGGTTATCCATAATAATTGTATATTTCCATAGGATGGATATAGTATGGAAATAGGATGGATATGTTATGGAGTGGTGCAATTGCAAATTTTGTAGTATGGATTTCACTTTTTTCTTCCAGTGGACAGGAGCACTTTTTCATCCAAATTCTTCAACTCAGTGCCATAAAGTGCAGGAAATGGAATTTCCGAGCATTGATTTTCCCAGGGAAGCATGCCCCCAGATCCTCCTAGTTTTTACCGCTCCTACAGTGTATTTTGCCACTGTGTTCCAGTGAAATCATGTTTTGCGTGCCGTGTTTGCACTTGGCTGAAAATCTTAACTATGGTTCCCCACTTAGCTGGAACTGATTAGCCTCCCCAAAATAAAACATGTTCCGCTGCCACTGGTTGTAGAGTACAAGAGTCTGTCCCAGATCGTCCGAAACCCCCACAGCAATTTGTTGAATGTGCGCCCCTGATATATGTACTACCGTTTATGTAAATATCAATAAATGTTTAGGAGAAATTTGGTCTGGAAAAAATTGAAGTTCGAGATAATGGGTGTGGTATCAAGGAAAGTGATTCTGAATTTATGGCTCAACAATATTATACTTCAAAAATTTCAAAACATGAAGATTTACAAATGCTTGAAACATATGGATTTAGAGGAGAAGCACTTGGTTCTCTATGTCAAGTTGCCGATGTTTGTATAGTTACTAGGACAGTGAAAGACCCAGTGGCTGTGTTGTATCATTTGGATCATAATGGAAAAGTTTGTTCAACTAAACCTACACATGATGGAGTAGGGACAACTGTTATAACTTCAAATCTCTTCAAGAACTTTCCCGTTAGAAAACAATGTTTCCAAACCACTAAAAAAGGCAAAGAAGAACTTAAAAAGATCGAAGAGCTCTTAATGGCATATGGTCTGATAAATCCTGAAGTGCGGATTATTTTACGGAATAATAAGAATGTTATCTGGCAAAAGAATAAATGTTGTGACATAAGAACAGCTCTCACTGACGTTTTTGGTGTTCAGCTGGTCAATCAGTTTGAATATTTTGAGTATTGTGACAATGATTTGCACCTCACTGTGCAGTGTTTTGTGCCAAAAACTGATTCAGATCCGCTGCTGATGTGGAGGTCTTCCGATGAAAGGTCTTTTATTTTTGTGAACAAGCGCTACGTAATTTGGAAAGAACTGTCGCAAGTAAGACAATCGTAGACAGGAAACTTGCCCTTGATCAGGTTGTTTGTCAATCTGACTTTGTAAGATGATACATGCATGATGTGTCTGTAAACGAACCTCCCTCCCCCCTTTATTAAGCCCCTCTCTACTCTAACAAATAAGCGCCTTAGGATTTACGCTTATACTGGAAGGGATCAGACCACTGAGCTATAATATTGCAGCTGTAATATAGTATAGCTCAGTGGATCAGACTCAATCAGTTCAATCATTATTACTCAGCAGCCGTTTGTATGAACGCCGGTGATATCTACTGCACGGATAGTGATTTTTTCAAGCTTTCTTACATTGATTGATAAAACCCACATTAAAGTTTGGTACATAAGAATTCAAGTTGCCTTTTTTAATTGTGAGATCCTTTTTTAATTGTGAGATCCGTTATCAAGCATGTTTAAAAAGGTTGAAGAAAATCACTCTCCAGTGGATAGCGCTATCCTGCCTTCGTACAACTGGTCCCAGTGCATCATTACATGACATGCAGCAATCAGGAAGAAATGTCAAAGCAAATTTGTATGTATCCGAATTGCCCAAACATACTATTGTATGTTTTTTAAATCTTGAATATTTAAAGCCAAATCTTGAATATTTCAGGTCCTAAAGAAGCGATGTGTTTTAAAAAACAAGGAAACAAGCAGTGGAAGGTATCCATTGTGTCTTGTGAGTGTTTGTTTGTCCAGCCAAGATGTTGACGCAAATTTAGAGCCGAACAAAACGAAAGTTATCATAAATCACAAGGTGAATACTGTACAACAATCAACATGCATACAGTATTATTAAGTCTATATGTTGAGTATGTTGTTAATGTTTTGAAATTTGTATTCTATATATATTATTAATATCGGTTGCTTTATTATCTGTGACATCTAATATGCTAAATTTCGCAATTAGGAAGAAGTTCTAGAAATTATAACCAAAGAATTGTGTAAGATTTACAATGCCAACGACCTTCCGTCTGTAAATGAGTAAGTTTTTTGTCAAAATGTTTTTAGTATAACGTCTACCAATTGTAATTATTACATGTAGTATTTAGATGTTAGCTTTTGAAATTTCGTTTGAAAAAGTATACTGTAGCTATATCTGGCGAGTTGTCTCTCTATGTAAACTCGGACATTTTTCTGATATTTTATAGTATTATTTCTATGATACAGTATGAAACGAACAACAAGCGAAAATTGAAAATTCCCGTCAAATTTGAGCTTTTAGAAATTGATGTGTACGATTTGTACTAGTCGTACTGGAGGAATTTCTGGAAAGAAAGGATTGTTCGACTGATAATTCTTCTGCGCTGATAAAAGTGACAAACAGACGCATCGTCCGTCGAGACGAGTTTGTATTTGTATACAAAGACGAACTTGCATGCATACAATAGTTCGTCTTGACGGACGATCCGTCCATGTACACCGTCCATGCATGTACACAAATACAGTATTACAGTTCATGAACTACTGTATCAGGAAAATACCAAGCATGATTTGTACGAATTGTACCCTGAATCATTCCAAGTATGGATACCAAGCATGATTTGTATTCTGAGTCATTCATGCCAGTATATGGATACCAAGCATGATTTGTATTTATGCCAGTATGGATACCAAGCATGATTTGTATTCATGCCAGTATGGATACCAAGCATGATTTGTATTCATGCCAGTATGGATACCAAGCATGATTTGTATCCTGAGTCATTGCCAGGCGTATGGATAGCGCTAGCTGTTGTTCATCTGGATAGTTCGTATTGGTTTTCAATAAAACGGATGATCCTGCAAACGGATGATGTTCTTGTATATTTGTATCTGGAAAGTTGATAGCACTGATCAGTATATGTAAAAATAATGTTAACCTCTGATCATTGTAGAATCTGTAAATATATGTAATTGCAGTGTTAATAGCCACCATGTTAGACTTGCATGGTATGTATTTATCAATTTGCAAACGGATGATGAGTCTAGTATAGTACAAATGGGGAGACTCAGTGGAGTAACGTGGGAAACATGGCAACCTTTGCCCCCCCCCCAAAAAAAAAAAAACAATCCGGTGTACACAGTACTCCTATTGAAAGAGATTTATTTTTAACAGAAAAACGCATTGTATGGAGTCAACTGGTATTCAATCGATTACTACCATAGCCTCGGCTGGTGAGAGAGCTCATTTGGATCAAACTAGCGAATTAAGCGCGCAAAAAACTTCAGAAGTTGTAACAAACCAAAGCACGTCAACGACTTCACTTGAAAATGAAAGACCGAGTGATATAGAGAGGTCAGAAAGAAGTGCCTCGGTTGTTGAGATAGTGGTGAATGCCGATTGTATTGCTCAAAATGAAAGATCGAGTGATATAGAGAGGTCAGCAAGAAGTGCCTCGGCTGTTGAGATGGTGGTGAATGCCGATTGTATTGCTCAAAATGAAAGACCGAGTGATATAGAGAGGTCAGAAAGAAGTGCCTCGGCTGTTGAGATGGTGGTGAATGGCGATTGTATTGCTCAAAATGAAAGACCGAGTGATATAGAGAGGTCAGAAAGACGTACCTCGGCTGTTGAGATAGTAGTGGTGAATGCAACCTCGTTCCCAGGGTCTGGGAACGAGGTTGTGGTGAATGCCGATTGTATTGCTCAAAATGAAAGTTTTCATCAACAAGGAAATACTGATGGCCATGAACGTTCAAACTCAAACATTTCTAGTGAAGCAACTACCAATTGTTCATCCCACGAAGAAAATAACGTGGTTGATGTTTTGCAAGAAAATGATAACCTGATAACAAGAAAAGACTCCTCTGTTGATAGTAATATAACGTCTGATCCTGTTTGCATGGAGAAAAGAAACAATAACAATGATGGTATTGCTGCTACATCGGAGAAACAGGACGGTTTACAAAAGAGTAGCGATCTAGATGAACTGTTGGAAAACTTTATCAACGACTCTGACATCATTGATGATTCTTTATTGGATATATCTTTAGGTTTGTCAGTCTAATTTTATTTCTCGGTAAAGAAGATAAAGAAAGTAAAACTATGGTTGATAAAGGTTTATAAAGAAAGTCACACTATGGTTAATTAAAAGCGGTAGTTGAGTGATTGTCCTGAACCAGTTGGTTTTAACTACGGCCCAGTGAGCTCCATATATATCTGGATTAATAGAAATGCATGTCACTCATTGGACGTCAGTTCCAGTCCATTTCTATTGTTTTTGTCTGCGCGGTTAGCACGAAGCCTAGCAAGGAGTGTGCCGAAATTTCGTATTTTGGTATCGATTTAAAAAAATAACACTATGGTTTTATGAACTGATAACGTGTTTAGGGATACGAATTAACTGAGAAAGATGGTATAAAAACTGTTTACGATCTTCAGAGCTATTGGACGTCAATGGCCGCCATCTTGGCTTCACTTTTTTCATTGACCGAATGACTGAAGTTCTTGCTCCAGATATATATAGAGCTCACTGCTACGACCAGAGTCTGACTCTGTCATCTGAACACATCGTAAAAATAACGTTTTTGATTGGTCGTTAACCGATTATTGTTGCATGACAACGAGATAAGTAGCACATTCTTCCAGAATTTTAACTATATTTTTCTTCAAAGCGAGGAATGCAAGCCAGAAAAATATATTTCTGGAACCTTGGTAATAAATTTTCTGTTTTACGTCATTCATGCACACTGTGATAATATGAAGTAGTAAATGTTAAATTGACAACCTTTCAGTCGAAACATGCTTGATTAAACATGCTTGATTAAAACAATAAATTGTTGAACGTCAACCTGTGGGCCCAATAAAGTAACATGTTTGAAAACCAGAATTTGATGTCAAATTTGATGCGCAAATCGGCAATGAACACTGGAACACTGGTCATTAGAATAGTATGCGACCTGATCAGGAAACATTTTTTTATTTTCAAATCCTTGTTGTCCTATTACTTTTCACTCAATATATACGTTATGGTCCAAACTCCCTAAACGACTTATTTTTTCCAGAAACGGTTGCACCTAATCAAGAGCAGTGGAGTAAAGGTCAAGGTTTGATCGACAAAAGTGGAAAAGAAATAGAGGTAACACTAATTTATTAAAATTTCTTTACATCATTTAAATCTTCATGTAAATACAGTATATATACATCAATAAATCCAACTCCCTGAATAGATCGCCAATTGTTTAGCCCAACAGGGCAAGTTATTCTACGCTTTATAAATTAATTTACACATTTACTGTACATAAAATATTTTGCAAAGGCATGTCCCTCTTGTCCCAATTATTCATTCTTAAAATAACTAACTATAAAATATTTTGAAAAACAGTGGAATTGCTGCTATCTAATACATAACCGGCAGCTGATTCCTTTCTTCGTGTTCTACAGAAGAAACTATTCCTATTTTCTATAAGTCTCAGTACGTGGTAGCCTTTGAGACTTATAGGAAATAGGAATAGTTTCTTCTGTGGAAGGAATCAGCTGCCGGTTATGTATTAGATAGCAGCAATTCCACTGTTTTTCAACGTGGAGAAAGTTCAATGACTGTGTACTGTATCAATATGATAGCTGATCAATTTGACTAAAACTTTTAGTCCGAGTAAACGTATCTTGGCTGTATCCAATATAATTTCACAAATAAATTCAATTTCATGATTTCTTTATGCAGCCATTGCAGCTTCTGCGGCCAAGTGTATGCAATAAAGAAAATGAAAACAGTACCGGAACATCATTATCGAATGGAAAACGTAAAAACATCGGTGATAAGGTACTGTATCTTTTATATAAGAAATAGAATTACTGGGCGTCCTCCAAGACAAGCGTCGCGGCGAAAATATTTCGTGCACAGCACTTAAAGACTCGCTACCAATCCCCGTTGACGCAATAGCTCAATTATACTAGTCCCTAATCCTCTGTGGACACCTTTTATTTTCCCGTGACGTCACCGAGTGAAATGCGGACCCGCTGTATATTAATGAGATCGTGTACTACTGTAAAACGTACTTGTAAATATAGCATTAGTTTTATTGTAACTTTATAACTTATCATAATGTTATTATTGTAAGCACATTGTAATTCAAATTTTTCTCCCAATGATGTCCCATTAAAACGCATGATATTGATAGATATCGCATAATATTGATAGATATCGCATAATATAAGGGTGTGAGGACTAAACTGTAGATCAATGGGTACAGCGGCGATCTATAGAAACCCGAAGATGTGAGTTCGAATCCCGCTGGAGAAACGAATTTTCTTTGTATTTTGCAGTGTCAGAATAATATGAAACTAGTTTGTCATATCTCTGAAGATGGTTCTGTGTGAAGAAGACTAGTGTGGGGGAAAAATAAAATCTAAATTTTAAATATTTTATATTTAGGATATTTCCAAATCAGATCGCCCAAGTAAGAGGAACAAGAAACATTCTATGGTAAGAGATTGTAACATCACTAACATGGTAACTAAAGGTCATGCACACGTTGCACCATTTTACCGCAATTTAGGGACCGGTCATTATTTATGGCGGGGGGTGGCACCGAAGAGAAAAGGGTTGGGTAAACAAAATTTTGAGTGAGTAAAATGTTGGGAAAATGAAAAACAAAACTTAAGGGTTGGGTAATAAGAATTTATTGTCATTTCCAAAGCATGACTCACTCAAATATTGAAGACTAAAAAGCAATGTCAACAGTCCTATGTCTATTAATACAATATGTAATTCAATCAGAGTCACTGTCTTAATCATTTTCCGATTTGTCATGAGGCAAATGGTGTCTCCAAAGAATGTATATGTACAGACAACATGAAACTTTAGATTGCAAAAGATTGCACAAGCATGCAGTTATGAAACTCGTGTCACAGAAGTGAGTACAGGACATGTGTGACTGAACGGAATCCTTTTGTAAAGTTTTTGACCAGGGGTGGGTATTTATTTTTTAATTGATATTTGTGGTTGGCTAAAATATTTTTGACTTTTTAATTGGTTGGATCAGCAAAATTTGTACCAAGAAAAATATTTCTCTTCGGTGCCACTCCCCGCCAGAAATAATGACCGCTCCCTTAATAGCAACGCAATTTTTGGCACAATTTTCCGTGCATGTACATGTATGGAAGTGTATAAAATCAGAAAAATTCTGTGAATACTTTTTGAGATAACATGGTTCTATATCAGACATTGCGTTACAGCAGCAAATGTGTCCTGTAACCTGGCCTTAACACCTAAATTGAGCCCCCGAGACCTTAGGAGATCTCTTATAGACTCAGCGCTACACTTTACATTTACATATGCGATTCGTGGGATATTTTGTGATTTGCCGTGTACCATGTATCTCTCAAGTATCTTTAGTAGATCTGAAATCAGCACGACAAATTGCAGAGGGTATAATATATCTCAATGGTGAAGAAATCCTATTCAGGATAGCTCAACCTGTTCTTTCTAAATAGACTAGCTCTCATCGGTTTCTTCCTACTGGACGAAGCTTATAAACTAAACTAACTCTACGTCTATCAGTCTAGTTTATGTCAATGTTGAAGCTGACAATTTTTGGTTTGATATAAGACAATTAAGGTAATTCCGCAGTAATTGTTCCCGAAATGAGAATGTGCTGAAACTTCCCAGGCATGGAGTTTATGATAAAATCACACAAAAAAGTCGCGGTCACCGAACTCGTTAAGAAGATATGACAATCACAGTATACCACCTTTACTCCAATATGGCGCCATTTTGACGCTCATTACGAGTAACAGCAAACTCACAACAGCCCGATATTTATTGACGTTTTTAGCGCGGATTTTGCTTTAGTAAACCTATCATGCAATTATTTTTGAAAAAATATTGTGTTTTAGCAAAATGAAGCTACTAACGTGTTCAATTCTGATCCACAAATGTCTTTTCCACATTTCTTTACATATCTTTCTTTAAGAACATGCATTGATAAAGCATTTTTTTCCAAGATCCAGAAATGATTTTTCTTTTAATTTCGGATATGAAATGTAAAATGCATTAAAGAAATAAATTATCAGTTAAAAAACGGGGGTCACCGATCTTTTTAGGGAATTGTGGCATTAAAACGTGAAATACAAGTAAATAAATATACTGCAGACACAGGACCCTAGCTACACTTTTGTATGCCTTTTTTGAAAACATTGACTTTAATTCTTTGCACGAATGTAACCAAAGTGTTTTGAAGTAACATAAAATTGTCATAAAATGATATTTTTTTAATGGTACGTATAATGGGTGAAATTATAAGTTATAAGATGTGCGCAGTAAAAGTGCGCAATGCAAAACTGCGGAATTACCTTAATGACGATGACTTTGATATGGAGTCGAAATATTACCGTCAATTTTTGTGTCCTGTTTTTATACTACCAATGCCTTCATGATTCAAAGATTTTCACTGCTTTGTTACACAGTTATAGTCCAGTCAATCTGTGACCAGAGGTCAAAGAAATTGCAATAGAATTTTTTTCACTGGTAAAATGTGAGGGAAGGTGTCCTGATTAACATACTAAAAATCCAAAAAAATCCCTTTGGTGGAACATGGTGAAAATCAAGTTTTTCTTACTTCTACCTATAGAAAACCATTGTGGACAGAATGTTCAAATTTTGAAATCATTTTTAGGCAAATGTAACCTACATTATTGGAAAGCTTAGAAAAAACTAAAATATAGATCATTAAACGGTTATATTCTATTTACTGGTCAGTTTGTCGTTATTCTAGCTCAAAGTTGGAAAAATAGTGCAAAATTTGCACAAAATACAAATTTATGGCATTTTAAATCTTGTATAACTTCGGCTGGATAGGCAAAAGCAAGATAACCGTTTAATTATCTATCTTTTAGTTTTTTCTAAGCTTTCCAATAATGTAGGTTACATTTGCCTAAAGATAATTTCAAAATTTGAACATTCTGTCCACAATGGTTTTCTATAGGTAGAAGTAAGAAAAACTCGATTTTCACCATGTTTCACCGAAGGGATTTTTTTGGATTTTTAGTATGTTAATCAGAACAACTTTTCTCACACTTTACCACTGAAAACAAATCTATTGCGATTACTTTGATCAGGACCATGTACTTATAGTGATTTGACTGGACTATTATTCAGCGATAGTTTAAAGGCTTTCAGAAATTATTGGGGGGCGGTGGTTGGTGCTGAGTATTTTATTCCTGTTTTTCTTTAAATGTTTAGTAGTAAATATGTATTTATTTATATATGGACATGTATTTATAATCTTGAAAGGTATGCGCCAGTGTAAGTAGAGCCAATGATAATAATGTTATATTAAAGTCAAACCGGATGTTCTCTTGCAATCAACATTGCAATATTGTCCCACAATATTGCAAATTTTGATAGGGAGATTGCTGTGAGCAATTTGCAAGCGACGAGAACAAATTGCAAGTTGAAATTCACAAAAGATTTGTAAACAAAGCCTCTGATTGGACTATTAGTAAAAAGGAAGCCAATAAAATGGTCTGAGTAACTGGAATGGTGCTTCCCTGTTTCTTATAGTCCAATCAGAGGCTTTGTTTACCAATCGTTTGTGAATTTCAACTTGCAATTTGTTCGTGTCACTTGCTAATTGCTCAGAGCAATCTCCCTATCAAAATTGCAATATTGTGAGACAATATTGCAATGTTGCTTGCAAGAGAACATCCGGTTTGACTGTAACAGTTACGTCACTACTAACTTCCCGAGGAAGAGTCTTCGCTCGAAACGTCGGAGTTCTCTTTTCAGGTGGTTGCATCGCTACCACTCCGCAGCTTTCTTATGTATTTATAATGACTTTGAATTTTCTTTTAGATAAGTGGACAATCATTGCTCACGTCGGTACTACAATCGCCTAAAACGTCATGTAATACAGATACTAGCAGAAAAACAAAAGAAGTTTCATTTTCTTTATCACGGTTGAAACAGTTGGCTGCTCATGACAGGTACAGCATTGGAACCATTAGCCACCAGTGAACTCCATATATATCTCGAGCGAGAACTAGAGTCCAAAAAGTGAAGCCAGATTTGTGTTAACCGCGCTAACCGCCATCTTGGCAAGGAGTGCGCTGAAATTTTGTATTTTGACATCGATTTAAAGAATAACACTATGGTTTTATGAACTGAAAACTTGATTAGCGATACGGTCCGTTAGAAAAAAAACTGAATTAGCTTAGCTGGCAAAATGATATAAAAACTAATAAATAATAAATTAATAAATAATATTAATAATTAATAAATTAATTAATAAAATGCAGTAATAAATTTACGTGGTGTTTCCACAAACAAAAACAATGATATAAAAACTGTTTACGACCTTCAGAGCTATTGGACGTCAATGGCCGAATGACTGGCGTTCTTGCTCCAGATATATATGGAGCTCAGTGTTAGCCACTGGGGTACACTGGCCTACATGCCCACCGCTTGGAGGAAATTTTAAACTGTCACAAATATTTTTAACAAAGTACAGAGAACGTTGAAACTACGGCAAGCAGTACATGTGCGGGTAGAACAAGCCTGTATAACTAGTACATTTCAAAACCCGTACTTTGCTAGAGGTGTAAACTGTGGAACTATATACAGTATGTAAACCTGCTCCTTCCAACTGCTGCGACACTTTCACCATCATACCTACACAAGATTTTCCTCCACCCAACTGCTACTGCCCACACTCATGACTTTATCTATAGCTCACACTCATTGTCAGCTTCTCTACCACTTCTCATCTACTGTATATACTGCTAGCTTTTCATTTCCCTTCCAGTTCCTTCTATTCCATAGTTTTCTTGTTCTGTTTCTGTTTGTATCACATTTAGCGTGCTTCGCCACTTTTGACACTTCTTAATTAATGTTATCCATGTGCAAAAATTAAAGCTGTTTAAGACTGAAATTAGTAAAAACGCAGAGACAACTAGAGGGCACTCTGAAGGCCAAGACACGCCAGAAGCGATTCGGCAGCGGATAAAACAGTCAATGAAAGGAAATTTTCAAAGATGTAGACCAAATGACTCAAAACGTTATAACGCTTCTAAATATTTGGAAAATTTAAACCCGGATCAAACTTATCGGTCAGTGTAAATCGTAAAATCGCGCCGCATTGCTCGAAGAGTGTATGTTTATTGCACTCTTGACCCCAATGGCCTCGTTTTCATGCGGTTATTTCCTCATATTTCATGCACAATATGGTTAGGGATAAGTTGTGATTGGGATCAAGATCAAAGAGAAACACATCCGTGCACGAAACATGGAGATATAACTTTCAGGTATACTTGCCATGGTAAAACACGTAAACATGAAAACGAGATCAATGGGGCAAAAGTGCAATAAACAGTAAAGTTTATTCATAGTTAATAGAAAATAGACATGGTTTGGAAGCTTGACAAAAGTCATTGTTCTATGTTTTTGTCCAAGTTTATGGAAATTTGTGCACTCGGATTCCGTGTATAATGAGGCGATTACCCAATAAAAACCTTAGTTTCAATCGCTGAACCCTAATATTTGAATATTAAACGCAAGACAAAAGATGTGTGTACTCGGAATTACATTTCAACATCAGTTGAAGTTTGAATAGGAAATTCTTTGAAGTTTACCGGCCTTCCTAACCATGTTTATTTCTATTAACTATGGTTTATTACACCGCTAAAAACGATCAGGTTGTTGCAATGTTGATGAAAACAGGATTGAACAATGTTTTGCTGCACACATTGTTTACAGTTGTCAACAACATTGAATAATATTGTTACACCCGATTCAGGCTCAACAATATTGTTCAATATTGTTGACAAGTGTGAACAACGTGGGCAGCAAAACATTGTTCAATCCTGTTAAACAGCGAGCTCAGCGTTTTTACGCATACTGAAACCTGTAAGGTTAATTAAATACTTGACATGGTATTGTTAACACTGTAGTAATATTTCTATATAGACCAAGTGCAACGACAACCAAAGAAGATATTCAACTAATCAAGCGTCTTGATCCGTGGGGCGTATGGCTGGTTCATCAGAAGAGAAAATTATTTATATTAAATCCTTATAGGTAAGTGAAGAAATTGAAACTTTTTAAATGAGATATCATCATGATTAGTCAATCCCCGCCCCTGGAATATTATCTGTCTAAAATTGGGCATTTAGAGCCCATATCCCAACACACCATGTCTCAAATTCAGTTGAGTCATTTCTCTATTTACTACCGATATTTTCTTCCTTACATAGGATCCAAGAGTTATTACTGTATAAAAGATTGCTATCTACCCATGTAGTACCTACAGAAAAACTCGACAAAGCCATTAGTTTAGATGAAAGGTAATCATACAGAACATTCAAATCTCAAGCCCATAAATTTCCAGTCAGTACATTATCAAGTCATTTGTATAAAAGTTATCAAACATTGTCCTGGAACCAAGGAACAGTGATTTCTGTCTACATTTAAGTGCTTGCATGTGGTTGGTGAGATATGGTGCATTGTTTACAAAATACCTTGCCAACATGTTGCCAACGCCTTGAGAACCTCCTTATTTAAAACTATATATTCAAACATTAAACCTGGTTTACACTATCAAAGTTTTTGTGATCACAGTAGGAATTTTGCATAAATTATTTATAAGAAATGTTTGAGACTCAGTGTTTAATATTAGGTCAATTTGCTCGAACATTTCTGGTAAGAAATCCTTCAAAACCTAGTGTTTACTTATGCAATATTCCTGCTGTGATCACAGACTTTGGTAATGTAAACCAGGTTTAATAACACCCGAAGACAGCTGGAAGTCGCATTAATTTTATTTTCTTGTAGAGTTCTTGGTGGTACATCTCGATTCTCGTTGTTGAAGAAATTGGTGATTCAAAACAATCAAGATGAAAAAGTTCGGTAAGCTGGCACCGGTAGAATTTCAAGAATTCCATAACGACAACCAGAAGCAACCCAAGCTCGTCCCCAGGGTCTTCCTCGTGGTGGCGCGCGAGCTGAGGAAGACCCTGGGGACGAGGTTGGAAGCAACCTCGCAAACCAGGCTCTCTACTTCCGCTTGTATTTGGGAACGGAAGTAGGGAGTTTGGCTTGCGAGGTTGCACCAGAAACTGCGAAAGTGACATTAATTTTGCGACCCTATTTAAAACGTTTCCCTCTGGTGAAGAAAATCATCTGGCGTTAGCCAGAGTGAAATACTAAATTATCCAGTTGTTAGATAAAAGTATTAAAGATAGATTTTAAAGAAAGGTTTAAAAGGTTTGTAGATAGAGACTTAATGCATAGCTAAATCATACCCATCAGGTGTTGCGATGATGAACGTCTTGTTTCTAATGGTTTTGAAATAACGGGAAGATTAGGTAAATATTTCCAGTTTCTTGTACCTTTGTATTTCATATAAATTCGTTACTTTCAATGTACGTGAACAGTGGATGCCATCATGGATTCATGGTGTATTTATTTTTAGACAGAGAAAATGGTGAAAATAGTATATCGCTGGTTAAAATGAACACAACGATTCCGTATTTTGGTATAGGTGATCTCATTCAAGTTTTAGGTAGGCTTGCATTTTCCTTACCCAGAGATAGTTGTATAAAAACTGTTAATTAAAAGTTAACCATATATACTCTAGTTTCTGTAATGAAATAATTCACCAATCATTAGTTTTGATTTTTTTTCTCATTTAGACTTCATCAAAGATAACGAGTCGCGTCCAGAAAACGGAAAGAAAAGCCGGGATCTTGCGACTTATCGCACAAGTAAAGTCTGCACTTTTCTCAAGGTTTGTTTATGCTTCGGAAATAATCTTTACTTATTAACTGAATAAAGTGTATTTTTTGAAAGATAGGCAGATATTTACAACAACATGTTGACTCAGGTTTGGAACACAATTCGTCCAATCATTCTCACTCTTTGGTAAACCAGATTTCGGTAATTTTATTTCATAATGGAACATGAAATTCAACGGAACGTAGCTGAGCACTAGAAATATTTTTGCATGAGTTCTCATATGAATGAAAGTATTACGTTAGCGCATGTATTAAAACGTTACCGTTAATTATTCGTGAGGAAAAGACAAAGGAAGTCACTGTCGGTTTTTTAAATTACTTCGCCAATGAACTCATAAGATGGGTCTCTTTTTAAGCCATTTAAAAGACTCTCAGTCTGTGTTTTATCAAACATGCAGCCAGACGGGGAGTGTGTCAGGCCTGTTTCCCCTTCCATCCACCCGCATTTGCGGAAGAGAAAACAGGGCCTGATACTCAGGCTACTAATCATGACGCTAACAATAATCTCATTATTTTGATGTAGGATGAAGTTGCACGTATATCCCGGAGTCTTCCATCACGAATGTCTGATACGGATATTGCTGAACTGTTAAAGAACATGAACGAACATTTAACTGAGAATGAGAGTACTTGTGTCCACAATAGACCATTATTGCATTCTCTCGTGTCATTTTAAAACAAGTTCAAAGTTATCTGAGGCTGAGTGTGTTAACCATACTGATTCAAGAGAACGTGAAGATTGATGTACTGCTGAAGAGTGCAACGGTTTATTGACGTGCGTTTGTCTGAGCATCGTCTGGAAGTGGAATTGTCGGGGTACCTGAAGACATGACCGGATTTTGAGGGGGTGTGGGGAGCTGCGCACTTCTCCTGAGATTGTTTTGCACCTCCTCTTGGGAAAGGTCAAATGATAGATCAAAATGAAAATTTCCGTCGTCGTGTTAAGTTGCACCTCCACCCTATATTTTTTGTATCTCCCCCACTATACCCACCAAAAATCCGGTCGTGTATGCCTGAAGACAACGTACATAGGATAAATAAATAAATAAAACTGGGGTTGATCTAAGTTTCAGGATTACATTGAACATTGAAATATGTAAACACCATCAACCCAGAAACGACCTTTAGACATTAAAAGACCGGTACAGCTAGAACAAAAATATTTTATTGCATTATTTCACAGCAGTTTGCATAATTTGGCGATGTTTCTGCACACATTCTGTGCTACAATATTTATTTGATAGTCTTTCAAATGGAACCAATCCTTGTAAACTTCGACTGCAGTTGAAGCAGATATTGCTATACGAAAAAATATGAAAATTAACACAGTAAACCACTATAAGAATATGTGATTGAATAAGCTGGCTTGATTTGAAAGTGAAAAAGTTAAGAAAGCTCTAATATTGCCAAGACCTTCCTCAGCAGATGTAGAACGGAAATGCATGCACACAAGCTTTTGAAGAAGTACAAAATTGATCCCGTGATAACAATGAACCAATCAGATAAATGTACATGGTTCACATTTATTCTGCGGTTCACACGGTCGTCGAAGATCCTCAAAGAAATAATGGCTCTGAACGGCTCAAAGTTCCGGGAATCCCATGCAGATTATCGGGATATACGAGTGCAGCACGTGAGTTAAAATTTGAAACATTTTGAAGCGTGAATTTGATCGCACTTGAGGGGATAATGTTTTCCTGAATAACTCCTCGATACATAATAAATAATATCCTCAAATAATAATATGAAACATCTTACTCAACTTACCCTAATCTTCGCTCGGCTGCCACTGCTCTCTAAAATGATACGAAGAGTTGCATCAGTCTACGGTGTTAGTAAAATGCTTGTGTTGGTCTGAAGTGACTTTATTTTTAATTATATATACACAAATAACAGTAGGGGCTGGTGCTTTGGTCCATATCGATAATTTATAAACAGTCCAAACCTTGAATTTAATATACTAGGTAATATTATATAATAAACGAGAAAGCGTTTATTACCGGCGTATAAATGACCAAAAAGTGTGTTTTCAAATGGGCTTGCATGCATGTATTTACAATAAAGAGAAATTCAAGGCGAAATTTGAGTAAAAGCTAAGGTACCGCCTATCAAACTACAGCATATATTGCGTTTTTATGTAGCCAAATACTGCAAACTGTGGCTACAAGAGATACCAAAATCTGGCGTATTTTATATTTCTATTATATTTTATTTTTGCACAAACGTGCAACCGCTGAAAAGCGAAATGGATGCACTGTATAATTTAAAGAAAGTAGTCAGCAGTAAACACACGCCAGAGCTCCATCGACCTCGGCTTGTCTTGAAAGCCCTGCGCATGCGTATACTCTATGAAAATATTAAATGTAATAATTGCCTTTTCTCTATCACTTAAATTTTGAAACCATTTCTTTTCATTTTCTTCTTTTTCTTTTCTCAGTTTTTCTTCCTCCTTCTGCCTCTCCTCTGCTTTCTTTTCCTTCACTCGTTGTTTTCTTGCTTTGGATTGAGCTTTCTTTTTCTCTGCTGCTTTTTGACGTTCTTTCTCTTCCATTTCCGTCGTCAGTGCGCTGGGAATCTTTAACAAAATGTATAGAATATTTGGATGATTTTCTAAGCTGTTTATTAAAAATCCACTCAAGATCGGATCATAGCCTTTTTAGCTATATAACTGGGTAGGCAATTGCCCCACCCTCCAGTCATATTACCTCCAGCCTCTGGAAGAAAAAGCCTCAAACATTAACTGGTCTCAACTGCCCAGAGTGCAGAAAATAGCGTTTCTGTCACCCCAATTAATTTTCAAGATTTTCCCAGGTTTACACTCAGACTACCCAACCGACGCATAAAATTAAATTTGATTTTCGGAGATCAAGATTTAAAGTGATAGTACGGTAAAAGAGCTGAACAGTGCAACAGGAATAGAGCTTACCCGAGCTTCATTGTAATCATATTTATCAGGATATGCAGCCATGAAACGACGGAATATATTTCTCGTCTCTTTGTCTTTGGCAACGTTATATGGAAGACGACCTTCTGAACTTCTGAAGCAAAATTATGGTAACGTACAGTGAGCAATACATGACACAAGTTACCGTGTGATAACTGAAAGGCATGACAACACAGAAAGCTAATTAAATTGGGTAAATATGAAGAGACAGAAGAATATGCAACAGTATCGTAACATATTTTTGCACCCTATAGTAACGGGCCCCAACAGCATAAAACCGAAAGTAATGGGAGGGGGTTAATTTGTTTGGCTGTATCTTACATGCAGTATCCATGAGTATGAGCAAACCGGAAGATGCATGCATGCTGTGGTGCGCATGTCAAGTAGCGACAATGTAAACAATACTTAAGGTGGCTTTTCGACTAAAAAAATACTGTAGGGCCCCTTTAAATAGTATGTAGTTCTTGGAAAGGATTTTTGCACGTGTTCTGTAATCATGTGCAACAAGACGCCTGTCGCCTTTAATAATAATTACAATATTTAGTCAGGGGGTCCAGTCACAAAAGTAATTTTCAGTGGAGCCCTGTTCAGGCATTCTTACATATATGTGTGAAAGTGTTAATTTGTTCTTATATAGAATTTGAAATAATTGTGGTCTGTGTACCACGAGCAACTTTAATCGTTGCCGCTTCTTACGGAAGACAACACAGTCCCTGACTGGGTTATATTACTCCTCTCCCAACTCTTCTGAACGTAACAACATTCCATACAACGGAAAGTTATAGTAGTTTCAGGCAACCTCGACTTACTTGATTGTTGGATTTCCTCCAGCTTCAAGTAAAATATTTACTATGTCAGCCTGTCCCAGGCGCGAGGCTAGATGTAGCAATGTTTCATCGTAACTTTCAAAACTCTGATTAAGTATGTCCTGTACACATTCATATCTTATATTATCTTTTTCCAATTTCTTACAATCCTTTATATCTTCTTTATTGTTAATTCCTTGACTACCTTCTATTTCAGAGTTATTTTCACCAGAGGTACAATAAGTTCTGCTTTCTTCAACACTGTCCAGAACAGTGGATGAAATGTGGTATTCGTGTTTCAAGGAATCTTGATTTTTAATTTCCTCCATGATATTTCTCGTCTTCTCCACGTTCCCAGAATCGACTGCTTCGTACAATTCTATCCAAATTTTCGGTATAACTGAAAGTAAAAGTTTAAAAATAACATAATAATTATGTGGCGCCAGATCGGGTAGTCCACAATGACAAGTAAGACGAGAAAATTCGTGGAGCTGACTGAAAACTAAAGATAATCTCCTTGAAAGGTAAACATTTATTTAGTCTGACAGCATTGAACATGCAGTAGGAAGGGGATATGTCACAGTTTTAGCCTAGTCCATATATGAACCTTATCATTCATGGATTATGGCCTACGATAACATCAGGATATGGGTCCATTATAGGGATATGCCGGATGGAACCGGATAGTATAGTCCACCGGATACCGGTCGGAGAGTACCTACTGCATGCACGGTGGTACTTGGACAATGCTTCACTTATTCTATCTCCATAATATAGTCCATTGTTTTATTATATATGTGCTTTATCTCTATAAAAATGATCAGGTTGCAATATTGATGTAAACAGGATTGAACAATGTGCTGCCCACATTGTTCACAGTTGTCAACAATAGTCAATATTGAACAATACTGTTACACCCGATTCAAGCTCAACAGCAGGCTCATAATTTTTACGCGTGTATAATAAGCACGAATGTCTGTGGCAGGGGGGTCGGCGGACAATCTAGAGGCGAGCAGAGAGCAGTTTACATCACGAAAACATTTTTTGCATGCCCAGTAATGGTTCCTGCTCCACAATTTCTTACCACACAAAAAAGACAAAGAAAACATTCCAGTTTCGTGGTTCTAACAAAAGTTCTGGTACTATCTGGAAAAATGCTGGATGTCTATCAAGGATGTCTATATATTTTACCGGTATCCGTATCTGGCACATTCCTAGTCCATAAATTGTACTGTATTTTTACAGGAAAACATATTGAGTATCTTAGATGGCGAGATTCTCCTAAATTGAGCAACGTCGAAATGGGGTGGAAAGAGGAACAAGCGGTACAACTCTTTACAAAATAACCTTTCGATGTAGTTCTCTCTTCCTGGTTTTGCACCAGTCCCTTTTATATACTGTGCGCAAAGATGCGCAGTTCGTTGGCGTAGATTTGCCCTGGTGGTATGGGAGGAATTATCTGAAAAATACAATAACTATCCCAACAACTTTCCAACCAACCTACGCTGGCACAGACCGTTCGGGTTTATATGTAGAGGATATTACACGGCGGCGCGAAGATATGAATTTTATAAAATTCATACCTTCAAGCCACCGTGTAATGTTGTTCTGTTTATTATATATTCCCAAGCAAAAAATTGTGAAATTTCGCGCTCAAAAGCAAATTGGAAAAAGTCACGTGATCGATATCTTCACTAGTGAAGATATGCAAAATATCTCACTGTGTATTTTTCAGTATCTCACTCTCTACTATATAATAAATGATCATACCTTCCTTTTTCTTCTGTTCCATTTTTGTCTTCTGGTTTTCTTTCTTAGAAATTCTTTCGTTCTTAGGTTTCTTCTTTACTGAATCATTTGAATTTTCAAGTTGGCACTGGCTTTGGTCCTCCACATTGTCCGTTTCTTGTGCTATCGTACTGATTTCATCAACTGAAATTTCTCGTGAGTTTTCTAAGTCCTCAGTGACTTTTCTGTCGCGTGCAATTTTCTCTTTATTATTTTCAAGTCTGTCTTTATTTGTCATTTCCTTGGTTCGTTGTAAATACTTTTCTAAACAAAAATGAAAGACCAATTGACTGATCTTTACTTAATTGTTACAAGAAACAGAATCTACAGTATAACGTGAGATTAAGTATATATTCGAAAAGTAATCCCCTTGGGGTAAAAGACTAAGCGCGGCTGATATACTATACTACAGTATACTATACTATACAGGGTGTAATGGTGTATCAAAAAAACGGAACAGATTTGAAATTGCTCTCAATTTCGCGAAACAGCTATTAGTATCCAGTTTTTGATGTATATAGCTTCCTTGGGTACTTGTAATGTAGAATAATGAAAAAATTTCTCGAACTCAAATTTTGTGAACCAAAGGGGGTGTGTCTTTTCCAACAAACTAAAAATGGCTTGCGCACGAAATTTAAAAGCTTTAATCATATTTTGAGTTAATAGATGGAACATTTGTTGGGTTTGTAATTACTGTCCAAAATTTCGCACAATTTGCTTTAGTTTAAGCCCTTTCACTATGCGCGCAAACATGCTTAATTAATGCCTTTGCCTAATTCGCATATGTCAGCATTATGCAAATTAAGTAAAGGCATTAATTAAGCATGCGAAAGGCTGATTTTTTAGGGAAAAATGAATAGTTATTTGTCTGAAATTTTGTACAGTAATTAAAAACCCAACAAATTTTCCATCTATTAACTCAAAATATGATTAATGCTTTCAAATTTCGTGCGCAAGCCATTTAGAGTTTGTTGGAAAAGACACCCCCCCTGGTTCACAAAATTTGAGTTCGAGAATTTTTTTATACACCCTGTAGATACAGTACTGTAGTATGGATCTTTTAATCATGGGGATTGGGACTCTTACAGTATATCCGGAATTAGGCGCCGGCCGATTTCTGAAATACAGTACATCCTCTACCATTGTAAGTGAAAAGTATCAACTACAGAAAGCGAGGCAGGCTAAGTACAGCAGCTATACGTCGTAGTTTCATATTAATCTGACACTGCAATCGAGCAACGAAAAATTCGTTGGCTCGAGCGGGATTTGAAGTCGCATCTTCGGGTATCTAGACCGCCGCTCTACCTATTAAGCTATCGAGTCAACAGGGATTGGTAGCGAGTCTTATCCAATTTAAGTGCACGAAATATTTTCGTAACGACTAACGTTTGTCTTAGAGGACGCGCAGTGTTTCAATTCTATTTCAGAACCATCCTCAAAGATACGAAAAAACTAGTTTCATATTAATCTGACACTGCAATCGAGGAACGAAAAATTCGTTGGCTCGAGCGGGATTTGATACCCGAAGATGCGAGTTCAAATCCCGCTCGAGCCAACGAATTCTTCGTTGCTCGATTGCAGTGTCAGATTAATATGAAACTAGTTTTTCGTATCTCTGAGGATGGTTTTGAAATAGAATTGAAACACTATACGTCGTAGAGTTGCTGTATATGCAGAAATCATTCTTATTTAATAGATCAATCACATTAACATAGTTTATTTTGTAAAAGGAAAATTGATTATACCTTCAATTATAACAGTGGACAGTTTTCTGTGAACATTCTCCAACTCTTTAAACGTTGCACGTCGTGTTGCGAAAGGGATACCTCTTATACGAAAATCATCTAAAAATAAATTTATAAAAGTTTTATAATAGAATGTGTGAAGTACAAGAAGCAATAATCTACCAATGCAACCAGTAGCGAAATACATACTGGGGGCGAAGTCGGCTGCCAATATATAACTATTCTTTTGTGGAGCTCTGCAAATCTTGGTTTCTACAATCCATCATAACTGACATCATCACGAGTGTAAAACGTCTTTAACGCTTAAATTATTACAGTAGCTATCCTCTAAATTACTCAAGGCGGTTGCATCCTCGTAGTCTCCGCTACTGATTCCAACCGTAGATAATGTGTACCAGCTAGTGTGACTTTTATACAAGCTTGGATCAAAATGAGAATGAACGTGGAAAGAACTAATAACATCAATATCTTCACCTTTTCCAAATGGAGGTTTTTTCCCAGCGAAGAAGATCCATTTATAATTATTTGGAACTCTCATAAACATTTTGCTGCATTTCTCAATATGTTCACTCCATGATTCTAAAATATTTTGAATATCCTATAAAAAATAAAACTTCACATTCGAATTTGAAATGAAACGGAAAACACATACCCAACTCGTTTCCAGGGCATTTTCATCCTGCTCCGTCAAACCAAGGGAAATACCCTGGGAACGAGGTTGATACCTATACATGTGCATGTGTAATTTTAATCATCCACGAAAATAGAGTGCTTTAGTTCTTAATAAATAAACTGACTGTTATGTTTTAAACTAATAATTCGGCAAGTAACTAAACCTGTACTAATGCAGCTTCATTATAACGTCTTAAACTTGCTCCAGCTGATCTACAAATTAAAGTAAAAAAAATTGAGTTAAATTTTTAATGTCAGTTCTTTGGGAGATATGCACATGAGAATTACATTGGGGCGGACTAGCAGCAAGTTCAGAGCATTTTTTCACTATATTCGCAAGCAAATACTCTGGTTAGCCAGGCGGCCGTCTCATGCACAGTCATACGGACGGCCACTTGTGAATTAAGACGGACACTTTTTAATAGACGGTCAGAAAAAAGTTTTCCGGCTTTAAACAGTTTACTAACTATTAATTATTAATTATTAATTAGTTTACTGTTTACTAAAAAGACGCTGAATTATGAGTATATGAAAACTGATTTCAAGCGCCATGTTTTTTGACCACGCAAATAGTTTAGGTATTTTTTGGACGGCCATTTTCGATACCCTGTATGCCTCAATCGTGGACAAAACTAATATAAAAATAAATGGATCGAAATTTTAGGAAACTTAATTCAATCAACTTGATAGCCTTTTTTGTTCACGATTGTTGGTTATCATTAGATGTAAATCATCATTAGAGAAACTGTCTAATACACACGCATAGTCGTACAAATTTACAGTATACAGCATAATTACGTCATACAAAAAAATAATAACATGTCTATGGATTTTCAAATGGATATTAATATATAATAGACTTGATAGTAGACTGGTATACCTTGGTGCATGTCCTCCCTGTTTATTATCCCTGATTCCTTGTGCAGTTCCTCGTTTAGCTCTCACTGTGTAACGATGAAAAGTTTTACTAACTACTACATCATTCCTATATACAACAAACAAAACATTGCTATGGATAACTCACAAGTTATTACAAAAAATTATTAGGGTCGAAGGCGTTGCTTAGCAGCGTGGAATACGTTTGAATAAGGACGCGAAAGCTGTCTTCCACAAAAATTGTATATCCACTTTGTTCGCCGATGACATTATCCCTCGATTTTATAAACAGCTGCGTTGCGACAAGTAAATAAGATCATCGCTGATGAATTCATGACTCCCAGTGTTGTTGAAATGTTCGGTCCTGAATTTAATTTGTTTGCATATTCAAACTACGAGCACGATTGTATATACATATACACTATACAGACACTACAATCGACTCCAACATTCTTGATAATCCCATCAGTCCAATCATATTTCAAGCTAAGACATGTCAGACTTAAGGCCATGTTACACGGTGCAATTTTTCTTGCAACTTGCAATACAATTCTACTCTTGAGAGATGTAAAATTGCCAAATACGAGTCTTCATTACACTCCGCTGATGTTTTCTCAACATATCGAAAATTCTTCACTGATTTCACTAATTAACATCTCTCAAAAGTAGAATTGCATTGCAAGTTGCAAGAAAAATTGCACCGTGTAACATGGCCTTAACACTCAGACTAAATTACGGTTTTCACCACCTTATACTTGGAAAGGTTATATGTGGTACTGGCAAAAAGTAATTACAGACTATACGCAGATAGCAACAGTTAATATTAAATAAATACCGAAATTACTGAAAATAAATAAATACCAGACCGTACTATTGGCGGTACATGTACATATTAAGTACACGAATTATCGCACCTTAATCACTGTATGCAAATTTCATAGGAAATGTTCTTACCCTGAAAATACTGCGCCAGCAAAATGACCACCACCTGTCATTAATATCAACCAGAATTTTTCTTGTGAAAGATTCTGAATCCGTGACTCAATTTCTTCACATGTTAACATTTCCTGTAAAAGAATTGTTTCATCACAGGTTAAAGCCGCAATCCACTTCGTCATACCGTGCTAGCAAAGTACGCAATTAGCGAGAGAACTGCATACCTACTGTACGTGATACTTGCTTGAAAAAAGTACTAGACCATAATATTGGTGAACGTACGTGAATTATTGCACCCTCTGATTGTACAATTTCCGCGATTTCTCTATAAAGCAGCATCTATTACCTTTGTCCCGTATACGACTTCGCGGAAAAGAGACATATGGATTCCACTTTCATTAACAAAATATACTTTAGGATTTGATCTGTCTACTTCTGTATGTATCTTGCGTTCATCTGGCAATATACTGAGAGTCATCAAGGGAATACTTTCAGGATTTCCTGTAGTCAGAACTTCTTCAGCTGAGTCAGATTCAGAGCCGGATATACTGGAAAGTTCACCTATAAATGTAGTTATAATAAATGTTAGCAGGGTCTTAGCTAGATGGCTGTCCTTAAATAACTCGTTCAGTGGCGGAAATTCACTTTTTCTGGTGGGAAGGCAAAACCTCCTAAATTTCCGACAAACTTTAAAATTTCCGACACCCCCCATTTGCATTCGAAAAGCCTGTTTTTAGCCCTCTTTTAGGTCAAAATTTCCGAAAATTCATCAATTTTCCGTGAAGGTGGGGACGGTCGCCCCCCCCCCCCCGCCCCATCGAGATTTCCGCCACGTAACTCGTTGTGATATCAGTGTTATGAGCATACAGTATGGTAGCCTTGTATTTCTTTGTAACACATAGAATAACCACAGTCTCAGTTGTAGCGAGCATATACCGGAACTGTGCGTTTTGGCAATGCTGCGTAATTGGCAAGTACAAACCCTGGAAATTTAGAAACACTTCCAAAATCTAAAATTCGAGCTAAGACCCTTATTGTTATCAGAGGAGAGTGTGAAATATAACGATTTCGCTTGCATGCAGAGTCTGACAAATGTTGGATCAAAGTTAAACACACTGTTATTCCGACATTGGTAATTTTTTTATGCATACTGGGGCCGATTGTACAGTACAAAACTCTTAATCTTAACTACTGTTAAACAGTAGTTAACTACTGTTAAACAGTAGTTAACTCTACAATGCACAATTCTGATTGATTAACTCTCAAACTAACTTCTGTATTAATTTAACTTATTTGTTACTTTTAAAAAGGCATTATGTAGCTACAGTAGGATTAGCTGATATAGTGGTTATTAAAGTTTCATCTTTTATATTTACAGTACCGTATATTAATAACTGGAGAATCTCAAGTTATGATACGTGTATACTAAAACTAAGCCTTGGCCTCCTGTGAAAATTGTAACGTTAATTGACTTTGTATTTCTGATGAACTATGGGACAGTATAGAATTCATTGCGAAGACTGTATTATCACACAGCCACGCTGAATATGCACAAATTGACGTCCTATTGACAATCAATGTTGAAACAAGATACTTAAAGAATGTGAGATTAGTTAAATCCAAGCCTGCCTCTCAACATAAAAACGAGGCTCTATAACCAAAGTGAAATACTTTCTGGAAGGGTATATTGATTCTGAAATGTCAGGCACATTGCCTTTTTCCATTGGACATATTCTAAACTCCGTATCAACCTGAAAAATAATCGTTTGTGCTCCATGGTTGACCAAATGACTGAATGCGCGACCAAGACTTACTGAAGCCCGTCTGAAGTCATGTTAAACAAGGCAAAAATTGGGGCAACTTGCAACACAATACGTACACATGCAGAGCAATAATTATATACGGTAACATAATTATATTCCCTTAATTAAGGCATAAAAATTAAAGAAATGGGATGAAAATTTTGAATAAACTGTGAGCCCTGCTCAGATATTTTTTAGGTAATACTGCTCTAATCCTCTATGTCAGTTGCAACGAAATTTGTCTCATCTGATATTACATGGGATTGACTCATCCAAATATTAGCTGTACTCATAAGTTACCTCTGGTGACCACAGAACTTGCAAATTGGGAAAAATGTATAGTTCCAACTGATTAAAGATATAAACAACTGAAATTCGTTTAGAAAAATTATTTTCCTCATTCACCTGAGATCATTTCTTCAAATACATCTTCGTTGACAGGATCTCTCAGTAGTAACCTCTGTTTAATATTATATTTATGCCAATCCAGTTTGAAATGACCTCTCTACATCAATAACATTTACATATTTAGTTTTTATTACTAAACATAGCAGTCAAGCTAGTAGGCATATATGGTCTCTTGAAACCAGGGGTGGAAAAAACTAGGCGAGTGCTCACTGCTTGCAAGAAATGTTAAACAGGTGCGCAGAAAATTCATTTAATTTGCTATTGAAAGTTTGAAGGATCCCTTAACACCCATGTCTCACCATGGGCACAACAACATACTGTATGGTACATTGACAGACATTATTCCTTGAATTTAGATTTAGCACAAAAATACTCCATTGGGTTGCAGGAAATTTTTAATGTCTCCAGGTTTTGCTCCCAGGAATAAAATTCTTTTTTCCTGTCCTGCTTGAAAAAAATAAAGATATATATGGTGGAAAACACTGAGTGCAGAGTCTAATACCAAAAAGTCATTTTCTATGCCAGGCCCATGTTGAGAAGAGTATAATGGAAAACACAGAATCTCTTTAACCTTAACATTCGTTTTCAACTACAGTAGACTAGCTATGTCGGAAAAGACAGTGTCTACTTAAAAACTAATTTATAGTCTAGGTTTAAGTCAGCATGGTAGAAAGACAGTGTCTCCATGCAGTAGTTAATTAAAAATATAATTACAGCTTAAAATATTCTTTTTTGACAGATGTCACAGATCCGCATTTTCCACCATGCCCCCTAGCATATAACCTAGCTATAGGGTAAAAACGACTTTTTATAGTAGACTCCATACTCAGAGTTCGTAGTCTCCAAGACCAAAACAATTCAAAGACTTTCAAAGATTTTTTCGGCCTATTTTCAAAGACTTTACAAAGACCTTTGAGAGCAATCAGACTTTTCAAAGACCTTAAAGACCTGCATTCAAATTTAAAGACTTTCAAGGATTTCAAAGACCGCTACGAACCCTGATACTCCATACTCCACTCTTCAATTAACTTTTCCACAGTGCTGTAATAGTTACAGTTTATTTGTAACTAGTTACAGTTATAGTTACATTACAAAAAACATAACTAGTTACCGGTACAAGTTACAGACGCCAAAGTGTAACTAGTTACAGTTACAAAGTTACAAAATATTTTTTGTAACTTATAGTTACAAAGTTACATTTATTGATTGCAATTAAGAACGCATACAGTTCGAATGGGCCGAATGGTAATGAAACTTGCGGCAAAATTATTGGCAAAATTAATAACTATTTACTAAATGTATCTGCATGCATCTGTAAAATTCCACCAAATCGATTTTTTAATAGAATTGTCAATTAAAAAAACTCTGCTATTATACAGTCTGAATATCCCTCACTGGCTAGTGGCTTCGCAATGAAAAAGCAGAAACGTGAATACGTGATCATGACTGGGCCAAGGCCAAGTGAAATGAGGCCAAAGACCAATTATGACGAGGCCAAGGCGCAAGTGAAGGCGAGCGACGGCATTCCGATCAGTTCCAACTGTACGTAAATTTGACGTCAATCCTTGACTTAAATTTGTGTCTTGAACGAATTCTGTTGTGTCAGATTAAATTATTCCTGTGCAGATGATGTACTTGTAATCGTTTCAATTTTATGGCATTTTTTGTAACTAGTTACCGTTACAGTTACATGTTCTCAAAATGGGGAAACGACAAAACGCGGACCCCAGGTCCATGGACTGCCTTCGTGGACCTGGTCCATGGACTACACTCGTGGACCACGGACCACTCCCGTGGACCACTCTCGTGGACCACTTGCGAAATTTCGCCTACCGAACAATAGACCAAGCACTATTATTCCGAGTTTAGGGAGCCGAGATTGGCGGGAACTATTTCATTATTCATTTCAATTATTTATTTCACAATCAATTCAGTTTTTGTTGATGAACAGTGAATACTAAGTCTGTAAAAATGCTGAAAAAATGTAGTCAGGGTTCCATTAAAAAATATAGGAATACTGTGGAGAATCTGGAGGGGAAGGGAGGGGGGGGGGGTGGTCAAAGGATCTTACTGAATTATTCGAATTTTACTGTTAAAAAAATCACTTGAACTGTAGAAGTCGTAAGTTGCAATGACCTTTCAATGTCTGAAGGTCCTCTTCCAAAAATATTAATTTTTGAAGCTCGAATACTGCTTTTCTTGCATTTCCTGTAGCGATCGAGAAAAAAAACTCACAATTTTAAGGGCTATATTCGGAAACTTTGCATTAAAGTCGTAATTGCACACTTATATTTTAAACTAAATTTATTTCGAACTCGAATCCAACTCGATGTTTCGGGATTCTCATTTTAGAACGGTCATGTAGTGAATGGATTTAGAACTTCACATTTTGTGTAATGTTTCCACAATGATAATAATGACTGAACTCGACTCGAGCACATTTTTGCATGCACAGTCAAGAATTCAAACCCCAAAAATCTGGTGTCTCGCAAGTGGTCCATGAGAGTGGTCCACGAGAGTGGTCCACGAAGGTAGTCCACGGACCAGGTCCACGAAGGTAGTCCACGGACCTGGGGTCCGCGTTTTGTCGTTTCCCCTCAAAATGTAACAAGTTACCATTACCGTTACTGAAAAATGTAACGATTACTTGTAATTAGTTACTTTTAACGAAGTTACTTACAGCACTGCTTTTCCAACATGCAAAACAGAATATGAATTTAATGTGACTTATGATTACTAGTGAAATTAAATAGAATTACAGTAAATGATGAATTCATTAACTAACAAAACCAACTTGCATAATTAATAATTAAAACTAAATAATATATGTGTAACAGTATATAGCATGGAAATTACAAGAAGTAAAACATTAAAAGAAATAATATTTGTAATATATAAACCTGCTCCTCCAATGTTGAAAATGTCGCACCACAAAGAGTACATGATTTGCCATCTGTCTTTGATATATCAACATCATTTTCTTTTTCTATATTAATTAAAGAACAGAACCATGTCCATCCATGACATGCCTGTAGAACTAATATTATTTAGGGGCAACGTCCATATACTCACATTGCCACGCAAAACGTCATTTTTAAGAGACAGTTTTGTGTGGCAGTTTGAATTTTTAAAATCAGAAAATATTGAATTTCAAAACATGTACGGAGATGATTTTGGATGTATATATAGAAGTTAACTTGAAGTATTTATGTATTTCACTAACATACCAAAGGCTTTAAAACACATTATTTTTCACAAAAATACGAAAAATATTTAAAATAGGTCATTTTAATATTTCTGTCATTATTTAAAACTACAAAGGCATTAATTTGAAGCATTATTATTACTCACTGGTAACACCTTTGAGGTCTGCTTTTAGTTTCAATAAGTTAATTAAACATAAATTATACACTTTACGTATCCAGCAACTGGGTGGATGGGTCAAAATGAAAACGTCAAAATGACGTTTTGTGTGGGTTGGCCATGTGAGTATGGACATCGTCCCTTATATGTTCCTTCAAATTGGTATACTAAAGATGCTATAAAGTCCGTATTAATGTGAACAAACGCTTTGTTTACATTTTGAACTTCTATATTTGTAAAATATGATATACTAGCTAACTGAATATCTAACACTTTTCTGATTCGCTATGCTTGTAAACAGGGGTGGCGCTACAGGGGTGTGTGGAACACCCCCCCCCCCCCCACTCGTCAGCAAGTCGGCAAATTATTATCTCAGTCGGCAAAACTGGATTGGCTAAAGATAACCACTGAAGAAACCAAAATTGACTTCCTGAATAATTGAATTCAAACCGAATATCACGACTAGCATGCATCAAAGAAACCACACATGCAGCAATGCAAATTCTTTCTAATTAAAAGTCAGCGATTATAGAATTCGATTCGTAGTTCGATTAATTGAACACATGACGGTGTAAGGTTTAAAAATTGACGGGTATTGCATGTGTATATACGTTAGGTGTCTGAAGATCAAATTTCGCGCGTCTAGAGTTAAAATTTGGCTTCAACTTTCGAATTTTCCGGCTGGAGATAACGTTCCAGTTATATTCCGATTTCAATGATTCGTAAATGCGTGATTAATAGTGCTCCAAGACGTGAAACAGATTTTAAGAAATGCCGAGACGTGCCGACCTAGGTCAGATTTAGGTCGGCCCTTTTTTGACGATCTCAATTTTGACGGTTTTCGAGGGCTTCAAAATGGATGCCGACAAAGGAAAAAGGTCGCTTCGCGCGAAAAAATTCGCTAGTGGAAAACCGGCTTAATAGAGGGTAATAAAGCGCATTTAGGGGCGGACCATTTAATTTTTGAGGGGGGGGGTTGGAAGATTTCGAAAAAAAATTTCCTGCAATCCAAGGAGAAAGAAAAAAATATCATGCAGCATATAATCGAGAAAAAAATATCATGCAAAAGAGAGCGCTCAACGTTCTTCACTTCAGTATTGTGTCCACAGGCTTGCAAAATTTTTGCATTTTTGAGCAGGCACATTCGCTTAGAAGAACACGGGGTGAACAGTGAACAACATCACAGGGATTCTACCGTGGCGTTCTCTGGCAAAATTGTTGCCCCCCCCCCGAGAAAATCTGGGCTTAAGATATGTACAAGTTTATAAGTTATTTATACATATCTAATATGCATGGTAGAAAAAGTATTTTTGGATGGCGTTTTTGATAGCATAGCTCCAAACTACATAGGCCCATCTACAAGATGCAAGTTGAACGTACTGCATATACGATGATTTTAATGCGAAAATGCCAGTTTAGAGAGTATTGATTTTAAAAAATTTCTGAAAATGATGCAACCCGATTCCCAACAAACTATGTTTATGAACGATTGAAAAGCTACAGAGATATTTTTGCATGGTGGAACATTGTTGTTTCGGAGGGCAGTTAAAAATCGCATTATTGAAATCTTGTTTTATTACGTATTAATCAAAATATTATTAATTTGCCCTTGTTTAAAATAAGGACAGTAAGTGTTCCTTAGGCTTAGTACAGCAAAGTTGTTGGACGAATCCATGGCTGAAAACGCATGAAATAGGATTTACGAGGTTCAAATTTTAAAATTTTCTCGAGGGAGCATGCCCCCGAACCCCCCAAGGTTACAGGTAATTCTTATACTGTACCTCCCCCATTTTCGAGTACTCTACTCTATCCCTGCATGTCATAGGTTTCGGTGCAGTTACACATTTTTTGTAAGTAAACCTGCACGCTTTAGTGTGGGGAACATTAAGACATAACCATATCAAATAAAGCACAGTGAAAATTCCTTGGCCCCTCTTGGAATTCAGTTCTCGACCTCCTCTGACTGAAAACCCCGGCTACGTCTCTGACGATAGCTATATCAAAGGGCAAATAAAGTATCCTGCCGCGAAATATATTGGGGAAAAAATATCTTGCGCTGCATTTTACAGGAAAAAAATATATGTCTTGTTAATTCCCCTGGGCGGAAAAAATTCTTGCCCAGTCTGAATCTTCCAAAACCCCCCTTAAAAATCAAATGGTCCGCCCCCAACATACATTTTTATAGGCTAACCACTCAGAAAAATTACCAAAACAACAGCCCCCCCCCCCCCCCCCCCACTCAAAGAGGGTTAGCGCCGCCCCTGCCTAAATGTGAGAAGTCTGCTTCCTAAAATTGACAGTCTGCGTCAATTTATCAGCAAAAACCCGTTTGACGTAATTGCTGGATCAGAAACTTGGCTAAAACCTTCAACTACCAACGCAGAAATAGACATTCCTAACTGTTCAATTACTCGACATGATCGTAGTGACAAAACTGGTGGGGGAACGGCGTTTTATGTCCGTAATGGTCTACCGATAAGGTAGATAAGCTCGCTAAGCTCGATAAGCGATAAGCTCGCGCGCGGATTTGCAAAACAGTGACATTGAAACCTGTTGGATTGAAATCATACGTCCCAGCACAAAGTCGCTATTTATTTCTTCAGTTTATAGACCACCTGATTTTGATATTGAAAAATTCATTGATAAACTCAACAACGAATTAACTGAAATTCAAGAAAATGCTGAAGTAATGTTATTGGGCGATTTTAATTACCAACGAAGATCAACGGCCAAATCACGACTACAAACACTTGCGCGTGCGTTTTCTTTCGAACAGCTCATCTCGTCGGCAACTAGAATAACGCAATTAAATCAATCAACAATCGATCTTATATTCGTAAACAATGCTCATCGCGTGGTAGGAAGCGGAGTTTTTTTTCTTTGGATCTCAGTGATCATTCCTTGATATTTTGTGTAATTAAAGCAGGTGTTGCTAAATCGGGTGGAAATTTCCGCGACATAAACTATCGTTGCTACTAAATAATGCAATAAACTAAAGTTTAATTGCGATCTTGAGAACGTTGATTGGTCATTTTTGGATTCGATAACTAATATCAATGACGCAGTAAACACTTGGTGCAATAAATTTTCCGAAACTGCAGACAAACACGCTCCCATTAAAACCAGACGAGTTAAATGCACGAGCAAATCTCCTTGGATCACACCGGAACTTACAGAATTAATGCGAGAACGTGATTACCACCAGAAACAAGCACATAAAACGAACTCCGAATATCATTGGCAAAAGTTTCGAGAACTCAGAAATTATATTAACAACCAAATTAAGCTCGCAAAATCTAAGTACTATCAAGATTCCGTGAACGCTAATAAGGATAATCCCTCTGAACTTTGGAAAACATTAAATGAACTAACATCTCGTAGTAAATCTGGTACAAACCCGTCGTGTATAATCTCTGAAGAAAAACCCATCACTGACCAAAACCCATCCCAGATATTTGGGAAAAAGGCAAGATTATTCCCTTCTTCAAAATCCAACGACCCAACATCTCCTAATAATTACGGACATATAACTATTTTACCAATCGTAAGTAAAATAATGGAGCGCATAGTTCACAGACAAGTCTACGAGTACTTAGGCCTACAAGAGCACGATCTGATCACCTCAGAACAATTTGGTTTTCGCCCTAAGTTATCCACAAGCATCGCTTTGACACAACTTACTGAGGAAATCTTGCACAATCTCGACAAGTTACCAGTGCGTTTTTATCGACTTGCGAAAGGCGTTTGACAGCGTAGATAACGAGTTGCTAATTTTGAAATTAAGTAATCTTGGTTTTTCAAAGTCTGTCATTAACTGGTTCACGTCCTATTTGTTATTACGTACAGTAGTCACATCTGTTAACAATTCAACATCGAGTGCAAGACCAGTCACCGTTGGTGTGCCGCAAGGAAGCATATTGGGCCCGCTACTTTTCTTGATATTCATTAACGACTTGCCTCAATGTCTTAATAACTGTAAGTCGATTCTTTATGCTGATGATACATTATTGTACTACTCTGCAAAGTCAACAACGGAACTTCAAGCTAAAATAAACGCTGATTTACAATCACTTTCACACTGGCTAAATAGCAATCTTCTAACTTTAAACTACGAGAAAACCAAGTTCATCATGATCTTTACACTCTTAAAAAAAGGTGTGCTAAAGCAACACACCTTTTATGTCCAGAAAACAACACACCTTAAGGTGTGTTACAGTAGCACACCTTTAGGTGTGTTATTCGCTTGTCCAGAAAACAGCACACCTTTAGGTGTGTTTTGAGAAAAGGTGTGTTTGTTAACACACCTTGGTGTGTTTGTTAGCACGCCTTGGTGTGTTGCTGTAGCACACCTTAAAGGTGTGTTGCTGTAACACACCTTTAAGGTGTGCTGCTGTAACACACCTTTAAGGTGTGCTGCTGTAACACACCTTTAAGGTGTGCTGCTGTAACACCTTTAAGGTGTGCTGCTGTAACACACCTTTAAGGTGTGCTGCTGTAACACACCTTTAAGGTGTGCTGCTGTAACACACCTTTAAGGTGTGCTGCTGTAACACGCCTGAAGATGTGCTACAGTAACACACCTTGGGGCGTGCTACAGTAACACACCTTAAAGTGTGCTGCTGTAACACAA